CAAAATGCGATTGGTACCAAAATGTGCTCCGTACAATCGTTTAAAACTCTTATAATCTCTTTCCCGTTGTTTGTTGTAGCACCAAAATCTGATGGGTACCAAAATGTACTCCGTACAATTATTTAAAACTCCTATAACCTCTTTCCCGTTTTTAGTTGTTCATGTATATCTCGAAGCATTTTCTATTTCTTTTTTATAGTGTGAGATTTCGCCATGCTATCGTCAGGCTTTGGTACTTCCATGCACCAAAACACTTTCTTAGAATATATTTTTCTCCTTTGCAATTCTTCATCTAATCTTCCTCTTTTTTCCTCTAGATTCTTCCCTAGAAGCATGAGATCTGGGGTGGAAATAGTGATTAAAAATTACCATTCTGACTCGAATTTAGCATTTGGATGTTGTTAGCAAATGTTTTCAAAGCGATAATGAAGTTAATTAAGAATGGTGAAAACTCGAATTAGGATATCTAGAATATTTTGAAATAAAAAAAGAATGCACATATTTTTGCAGAGTTGCAAATCGATCATATAGGAGAGCTTCATTTTCATTGCATGATCAATAAAATTAGGGGTGAGCAGTTCCAGATTTCGTACCACTCTGTCACAGGTTTCAAAATCTACCTAGATTTCACATGTATTATTAATTGAATAATTGCAATGAATTATCACCTTTAATGACCACTACTTGATGATATGATTCATTGACCATAATTTATATTTAGAGGCACGAAGAATATGAAACATTAACAAGTCATAAAATGAAAGTTCAAAATAGTGGTTCAAAACCATACACTCGTCATCTAACGCTATGGAACGCCACTGGATCACGTGAAAACATAAATCAAGAAAAAGTACAAAAAACCTATCTAAGATTTTAGGTTTCAAACCTAGAACGTGGAATCTATCCGTCGAAACATGTTCCTCAATTTTTGGAATCCAAAACCTACAAGTTCCACCAATTAGGTTCTCAAACCATGCTCACCCCTAGAGGAGACTTATCAATTAATGTCTTGAAGGCACCTTTTATATAACTCTTCCCATTTTGAATGCACATCAAATTTATCATATATAATTCATTATGTCGTGGATCATTATAATCCGCAAATCGTTATTCAAAGAACGCGAGGAAAAAAAAAAAGGAACTTCGCGCGTTTTCCCTCTCATTATCCAAAAGCAACGACAACACTCATTAGGTAGAATGATGCAGGATCATCATTTGGACAACTAAGATGAAACCCCCCACCTAAAAAATTTCAAACTCAAGAAGAACATCGGGAGCCGTTTGTCTGTCTCGTGATACTCATGTTGATAAAGCGCCAATTTTCATTTTTTGAAGATTGAATAAGTAAATTTCCGTACCCTCTTTCTTCATACCACGATTAAATTAATTTCGAATAGATCGATTACTTATTACTCTTTTTTTTTTGGGTCGAAGATTATTTATTACTTGAATACTAGAAAATCCTAATGACAAGGTCGTTAGTGGGAAGAAGATCCCCCCCCCCCCCCCCATGATAGTGACGAATCGATCTGGAAAAAGATTTCGCTCAGGAGATGGAGCCCACTACGCAAATCTTTTCGCACTCCCTCCTCTTCTCCTTCTCCTTCTCTTTTTTTTTTTTATAATTATTTATTTTTTTCTGGCCTCCATTTGAATTTTTTTGAAAAAAGAAGGACAAGAAAAAGAAAAAATTCCCGAAAAAATTTTGAAAAGTCAGAGGAGGGAGTCAGTCGGTTAGCCTCGTTACCCGAGCCGAGTCGCCCGTGACTCGGTCCTCTCCGCCCGCCCGGAGTCACGTTTTCATCGCCCTTCGAGCGGGGCGGGAGGGAATGTCGAGGGCATTATCGTCATTTCGAAGTCGCAATTTTCTATTTTGAATTTTCTTTTCGGGGCGTGAGATTCTTTTTATTTAAATTTCTTAAACCGCTCAAGTTGGATGGTCCCATACGCCGGAACCTCGATCCTATAAAACGGCCTCTCCGTTTTTGTTTTTTTTTAAAAAGGAAGAATTTTCACATTTTATATTAAAGAGAATTCGGATAAAAAAAAACCGGAGAAAGAATCCTATGGAAATTACGCGTGAAATTTCACGTTTTAATTTTAAATCTTTTCATTTTCAAAATTTGATTTTTTTTCAAATATCGGATGCTCTGAATTTTTGGAACGGGTGATTAAGATAATCTAAAACCAGGCGATGTTTGAATTGTTGTAATTTTTTTTTTTTTTCTGGCTTTGTCCAATTTTGACTTCTCCAATAACGAGGTACCAAGAAGTTTGCCTGAAAACTGCAGGCCAAGGCCGGACCTGAAAAAGCTTCGGGAAATTATTTCCTATTTGTCGAAAAAAAGAAAAGAGTCTTATAACTCGTAAGTACTTAAAAGCTGCCTGCTAAAAATGTCGCGATTTTTCTAAGTTTAATAATTAGCTTATTATTATTATTATCGATTTATTAATTATATCATCGGGCGAAATTGAATGTGAAAACTGTATCCCGGGGACGTGATTTTCTGGGTAGTCGATTGCGCTAATTTTATCAATCCATTCACGAGAATCGTTGCACCGTCACTGATACGTCTTACCCGGTTTTCCTTCTCGCTTTTCACCGCTTTTGTCGAGACTTCCGGACAATTAAGTAGGCGGTTCATGGTAAATCAATATTACATCGACAATGCATATTCCATTTCTTTTTTCTTGACCGAATAAGAGCAGAAACGTACATAATATCCACATCGTCATATTTACGCGAAGACATACGATCGACTTCCTAATCTTTTGGTGCTTGAACGCCTCCATGTGGACCGGAAAAACCAAAGCTCGAACTTCATCGTTTGCTTCTTCTTTTTTTCTTCGAATGGACGAGAAAAATAAGAAACATAAATCAATGATCGAAAAGCATATGCCTAAATGAGATGGCTGCGATTACGATAAACGAAACTCCGTAGCTCGCCGAAGAAGACAAGACTTTGAATCTGAAGAAGTGTGTCCCGGTCGGACTATTTGCTCCGATTATTGGTAGGTCTCGTGGAAACAAAAAGAAAATAAATAAATAAAAATAAATGTCCTGCTCCAATTAACACATTCAATTGCCCCGACAAATTGTAGTACGTTCGACCTAGGGAATATATGCTTTCCCCTCGTTCCGCAAATTTAAAAAAAAAAACAAAACAAAAAATAAGAAGAAGAAGAATGATGCTGTACATCATGATCTACACAAATCCATGTGTATTTTTTGTTATAAGAATCTTGTTAGTAAGTATCTCAAATGCACTTTTAAAAGCCGGTAAAGTAGAAATGTTCATACTTTCATGGCACAATTAATAACCCTTATGATAAAAAAAAAAACTTGAGCAATTATTCGAGAAACATGTTGAGGAAGGGACTAAAAACCGTAGTTCTTTTTTAGAAACTAATGTAGAAACCCGATTATCTGGAGACTCGTAGAACTCCGCAAATTGGTTGAGTTATCTTGCCTCGCGTACGATTACTACTGTGAAAGTTAAGCAAAAAGCGATACCACGAATGCTTAATGCTACTGCGAGCGACTACTAGCGTGATTGTTAGTCATAAGGGTTGTGTTAGCGAGTTGTGACGCTTGCTAATTATACTTGATTATAAAATAAAATAAAAAATTCTAAGCGTTGTTTGTCCATGACTAGATAATGATCATGTGTATGGGAAACTACTGAAGTTTTCTCATTTAGTTGCTTAGAAAGTGCGGTCGAAAATGCTTGTTAACAAAGTGAGTAATGCTAGAGATGCTAAGATCCATAACATACACTTAATGGCGTGACAAACATTAAGTAGTTACTTTATTTCATAAGCCCATTTAAATAACCAATTGAAATATGTCACGTCATTTGTAAATTCATTTGATATAAGAATCTTAGTATCTGAAGCATAATTTCAACGAAATCCTTACATTGCACGAGACTTTCGAAGCTCAGGTACCCGACTAATCCTCAAGAAAATCCCTATCGCCCGCATATCATTGTTATCTAGCGCCCTTGTTCCTTACGCCCAATTGTCCTAGGACACCGAGTAATATTATTAGAAACAATAATAACAAAGATAAACAGTAATATATTTTTTTTTTCCTTACCAAAAAAAAAGATAAACACATTTTGAAAATCGAAATAGAACATCATTCAAGAAAAACGGAGCACAACTAATGGCCCTTAACAAGCACCAACTATGCACTGTGATCGCTGTTATTACAACTAGAATAGAGAGTCTCTTTTTTTGTGGGCGAAAACTCAAGCAAAGATAAAAGAAAAAAGTGCTTAATTAAGGGCTTTGTCTTCGTAACCTTTTTACTTTTCAATTTAATTTAATATTGCGATGGATGCATTTTGACTTCTCCTTAACCCAAAATATCCACTTACGTAATATATATTATACATATATATATATCGACAAATAAATTCACATATAATTCATTGAAATTCAAACAACATTTTAAAGCCCGGCAAGAAGAGCAAAATGTTACTTTTTTGCCTCCTTAAAAGCGAAATCAAGCAGGCACATTCTACTATTATTTTTTTTTCTTCTCAATGGTCATCATCACAACTCAAGTAGAGCTTTTTATTTTTAGTTTCGAGGGGGTGGGGAGGGGGTAAAAACTCAAGTAAACACAAGCGTCCATTTTCCAAAAAAAATAAAAATAAATAAATAAATAAATAAAAACGGAAGTACTTACAAGAGGAGGTCACTAGCGGCGAACTTTCTCCCCCCCCATTTTCCATTTGTCGCATTTTCTTTCATTTTCCCAAATTTCCGTTTTTCCTTTTATGTTTTTAAAATTTTTAGGGGGGGGGTGGGGGCGGTGGGGGGAGATGTTATAAAAGAAGGCCTGCTTTTGTTCCGTGCGCCCCTCCCCCCTCTTATTCCACATCTCCTTCAACCGTCTCTCCGTGTAAAACTCGCGTTTCCTTCAGCAGACCAACACCAAAAACACGCGACGAAGAAGAAGCAGCAGGCCGCCATTGGAATCCCCGACGAGCAGCCTCCCCCCCCTCCGATTCATCACCGCCCAACCCCAGTCGCCGCCATTCTCCGTTTCCTCCTCCTTCGACACAAGTTCCGTCCGTCCTCTCTCGGTCGGTCGGTCGGTCGGTCGGTCCTGCCGCCAGATCCTAATCGCGAGATCGCCGCCTTCCGGCTTGCGATTCGCGTCCGGGGGCGGCGTTTCTTTCCTTTTGGGGCGGGTCGGGGTTTTTCCCGACGAGCGCTTGGGAATTGAGGTCGCGGCGATGCACGGTGTTTGCTGACCTCGGAAACATGGTCGTGACAGCAGGACATGGAACTCGTAGTTAGTTACTGGACCGCGACAGCAGCAGCAGCAGCAGCCGCCATCGGAGGAGGAAGACGGAGGAGGAGGAGAAGGGGAAGGAGATGACGCTTTACATTGGCCGCGAGGCTTCCAAGGTCTCTCTCTCTCTTTCTCTGTCTCTTGCGTTTCTGCGGGATTTCTTGTGCATGTCGGTTCGCGATGGTTGTGGATGTTGGGACTCTGGGATTGACGTGATTTTTATGTGTCTTGCGCGGTTTTGGCCATTGGGTGTTCGAGAAGCTATGGAAGAGGATTTGCGCGGAGATAACCACGGAGATCAACCTCCTCGCGGAGAACTGGAGATACATTCTTGCCGGTCTCATCTTTCAGGTTCTAATCTTCTTCTTTTTTGTAATTGCTTGGCTCTTTGGCGAATCTGATGCCGAAAGCTGTCCAGTTTTTGAACTCGGATTGCGTTGTTGTTGTGTTCCTTTTCCAAATTCTGATCTTCGAATATCCGAAGTCAAAATTTTTCAAAGTTTTGAAGAATATTGGGGTGTTAAAAAGGTATGATTTTAGGGTCACCCTTTTCGTTCAAATCTGGCTGGCGCTCTGTTCGGCATTCCGGCACGAATTGCTCGCGTTTGACCATCAATGTTGCCAGGAATTGTCGACTGGCCTTTTCTGAAAGTTAATGAATGAGCGAGAGAAGCATAGGATTTGGTAATACGTTACAATTGTTTTTTGTTGCTTCAAGGGAACTCCTGTAGTCCATGCTTTTCACTTAAGGGAGAGTCATCTGCTCCCACAAGTGGCGTTCTTCAATGAAAAGGACTTGGTCTGCATGAATCTGAAGTTTCAGTTTCTGGGACTTGTGTTTCTTTTTGGTTTGCGGGATTCCAATTTTGTGTTGGGTCTCAGAGTTCTTATCACGGACATGTTTCCTCTTAGTTGCATAATGCCATACTAATGTATGCAGATTGACAAACTATTGTTTCGTTCAAGCATCGTTTAATGTGGTTAATTCAATTCTCTCTGTTTTAATTGAAATTAAGAAGTCGATGGCGTTTCTTTACGCTCAATATGTTGCTCATCATGGCCATTAAATTTCATTGACTAAAACTCTCTAGAAGAATGTACACTTTGAGTTTTTTTTATTTTTTTTTTATTTTCAACGAGGTTCGATTTCTTTCTTACCTTATTTCTGATGTATTGTTTGTCTGCCACAGTACATACATGGCCTGGCAGCTCGAGGAGTACATTATTTACATAGGCCTGGCCCCACGCTTCAGGATGTTGGATTCTTTCTACTTCCGGTTGGTTTATAATCACTCTGATACAGTATAGTCCTCTGGTTTTACGTATCATGTTTTTTAGAGTGTGTTATTGTGTGCGTAGGAGCTTGGCCAGGACAAAGCTTACATCAGCGAGACTGTATTCACTTTTGTGTTCGTATCTTTCGTATTGGTAAGGTTGTTGTTTTTCAAGTCTGGAGCATCTTGATCTTTTTTTATCCATTTATTCGAAGGTTGGAACTGCTTAGTAATTTGTTTGCATCTCGGGAAGATGCAAAACCGTGCATGCTTAATGGCACACTAGATGAATTATGAATGTTTGTTGCTTTATGCCTTTGGTAATATGGATTCTGATGATTCCCAATATCACTGAGGAGATGTGAATAGATTGCAAATTGTGATTATCAATTGAAAGGAGTATGGAGTGCAATTGTTCTTGTGCATAAATAGATTGAAGAAGGCTAGTCTTTGTTTGGTTTCTTTCATGGTGGATATGAACTAATGTGGGCCATATTTTATGCAGTGGACTTTCCATCCTTTCATTCTGAAGACCAAAAAAATCTACACTGTTCTTGTCTGGTGCAGGGTCTTAGCTTTTCTTGTTGTAAGTGCTGTTTTCATTTAAATCGTCTCATTTACAGTAGCGTGTGCATTTTTTTGGATCGTAAGAGTGATTGGGATTTTAAAAAGGAAAGATCAAGTGGTTAGCTCTTATGGTATTGCTAGTCCTAAACCTATTTTTTATTTTTCGACAAATGATGCAGGCTTCTCAAATTCTTCGGATCATCACATTTTATTCTACACAGCTTCCAGGTCCAAACTATCACTGCCGTGAGGTAGAGTCTCTCATCTTTTATAGAAGTTCGTTCCGGCTATTCACAAATGTTTGTCATCTGTTTGTTATTTGGAGCCTAAGGAATCATTTACTCTGTTGATCGACACTTTACTGACTTCTTGCTGCAACACAATTCAGGGATCGAAACTTGCCAGATTACCTCGTCCTCATAGTGCAGTGGAAGTTCTTCTAATCAACTGTGAGTGACTTCATTTTTATGGGCTTCATAAGCATTATCCTAAGTTGTTAACGTTCTTACTCCTTTTGTGTGCTGAATTTGCAGTTCCTCGGGGAGTGATATATGGTTGTGGTGATCTGATATTCTCATCTCACATGATATTTACCTTGGTCTTTGTGCTCACGTACCAGAAATATGGCACAAAGAGGTAAGGCATTTTAATTCTGGAAGGAATTTGTTGTGCAAGCTGCCATAACCAAATAAAAACTTTCATTTTATTTTTCCGTAGCTACTTTAGTGACCTCGGTAATTTTCTGGCTGGCGTTATGGTATAGCAAATACAATTGCCGAGGGTACAGATGCAGTTGGTTTGTGAGATGTCTGCTCTAACACCAGTCAGAAAATTAGTGGTTACTACAACACTGGGCAGATAAGTAGAGGAATAATTTGAGGATTCGCAATTTTAGTGGGTAGTATAACACTGGGACAGGGAAATGGCCTCTGGATTTTTTGGTGGAAGATGTTCGGTGATGGCTAATATTTTAGTGGATTAGTTGTTTATGAGTCGGATAAGTAATTGTCAAGTATCCTCTAAAAGCCATATTAATGAGTTTTGAATGTGCTACGAACTTGTATTTACATGTCAAATTTATATATGCTTCTGTTGCAGGTTTATAAAGCAGTTTGCCTGGTTGATTGCTGTGGTACAGAGCTTCTTGATTGTTGCATCGCGGAAACATTACACAGTTGACGTTGTTGTTGCATGGTAAAATCCTGTTTTTTTTTCTGTTAGTATCTCTCTTCGGCACTACTGATGCATTTTTGGCTGAAGCTCATATTGTGTTTAATCTGCAGGTATACTGTTAATTTGGTGGTATTCTTCATTGACAAGAAATTGCCAGGTTAGCCTGTGTAACCTTTGCATCTGTCGTGTCTTTTAGCAATGCAATAGGGCAGTAGTTAGATATTAATGATTTTTTTTATTTTCTTCGTGCAGAACTTCCTGACCGGACCAGTGGCTCATCACTATTCCTACCAGTGAGCACCAAAGAGAAAGATGCTAGAAGCAAAGAAGAGAATCACAAGCTCTTGAATGGGAATGGTGGAGACCCTGCTGATTGGGTAAATTCAAGTGAAAAAAGGCTTAATCTTCAATCTCCCGACTGCATGTATTGTCCATTAACTGGAATTGACATTTCCTCTTGATCTTTGTTCAGAGGCTGAGAACACAAGTCAATGGCAAGATTCTGGAAGATGGCAATGCTGTCCTTGCTGATAATGCAATGAACGGTGCGTAGATTATGGAAAGCTGCCACTGGAGCCAACTTGAAGACCTCCAGCGCCTGGTGGTGATGAAAACCCTGAAGGCATGCAGTTGATATTGCAGCGTGGTCGGCTCTTATTTTGAAGATGGGTAAACATGATTCTTATTGTAGTGAAGATGGAATTCGGCTTAAGCTTTTATGTTTTGGCCGTCGTGCTCTACAATGCATGGTTTAAGACCATGGCATTCACATTGGAAATTTCAGCAATCTTATGTCCATTTCTCAATCCAGTGAAAGCATCTTGGTTTTTTACTTCCACTGGCACTGTTTTGACGTGGGTGAAAATTCTTTGTTCGGACTTGTATGGCGGTTATCAATACCATATCTCTTACGCCGAGACCCGGGCTAATGACAGATGCAATAAAAGACTTACGAAGCGAGAAAATGTACATAGATGCAATTCTCAGAACTTCAACTTTTAATTGTTAGTGCTGCCAAAAATTTTGTCAGATAGAGGGGAAACAGATCAGCTTCTATTTATAACTGTGGATCACGTCACATCCACTTTTTGTGCTTGCCATTGATTGAATGTCCTTTTGCCTATGGTAAGTTTTTAGCACTGAGCAACGAGCATCCCCGTACCACATGCCATAACAGGTGGTGAATTTAAATCTGTACTATGTCTGTCGTCAGTATCTTTCTTGATTTTATATGTGGTTCCCCAAACCCATCTTTAGACGTTTCCGGTTATAGTTTAGTTCCTGTCATGTGGAAAAGTTTTATGAGCGACCTTCACTCGTAACCGAACGAAATGCTTATGCTGCAATATTCAAAAGAAGAGACAGAGATGGTACAGCTAATGTTGGTGTGGCCATGTGGGCATTACATGGGAGTGCTGGCAGGCAGACAGGACACAGCCCGACTGGTCCCATGCTCGCTTGTCCATCTTTGTGGAAAAGAAGGGGCTCAGTGGGCAAATGCCCCCACCACCTGCGACTCGCAACATGCTGAGCAAAGATCCTCCCCAGTCCCCCACCACTAACACCGTTGGAGTTGCACAATCCAAATGCAAATTCAAATGAAAATTCGTGGAGAGAGAGAGAGAGAGAGAGAGATGCCTTGTCTGTCTGTCTGGCGAATCAAGTGATTGTCACGAGTTATAAAGGAGTCATTGCCATGAAAAGAGGGTAATGCCCTAATGTTCCAACCTCAGTTACTTCCTTTTCTCCGTGAAAGAGAGTCTCTCTCTTTTGCCTCTTGTCGCGACCCGCCACACCTCTTGTCTGCGGTGTACCATCAATCATCATTAACTTACATGTTCCAACACATCCCAAGAGTTGTCGACCGACGTGGTATGCGATTGATTGGGATCCAGAACAACATTCACGCGCTTGAGGGTTGTGTGTTTCGATGTACCTCGAGAAAGAGGGTTTCCATTTGTGGTTTTGTAGAAGTCTAGGGGCAGTTAATGCTCACCCCTCGAGTGCCTCGTTCTCATTCATCTTGTAAATGAGAAATTATTGAGAAAAATGACACATACAGGCCCTGAACTTTGATTCAATGTGTAATTTGATCCATAAACTTTTAATTTGTTCAATATAGTCTATGAACTTTAACCTAATGTTCAATATGGTCGATGAACTTTTTGTACATGTTCAATACAGTCCTTGAACTTTATAAAAATATTCAATGTAGTCTTTCTATTAATTTAAATTCAGGGACTATATTGTATACTTTCATATAGTTCAATGACTAAATTGAACATGTATCAAAAGTTTAGGGACCACATTGAACATTGGCTAAAGTTTAGGGACTACATTGAACAAATTAAAAGTTCATGGATTAAATTGTACATTGAGTCAGAGTTCAGAGACTATTTGTGTCATTATCCCAAATTATTGCACATCGAGTATAAGTCCCTTTGCATGAGTTGTATTTGTAAGCATGAGTAAAAGAACAAGAGTGTATTCCCCGTATAAGATACAAAAACTTTCTTTTCCTACGTGAATAAATATTTTACCACCAATCGAAACAAGTAAGAAGTGCAGGTTATTTCAATAGCACTTCTGGGCCTTATCAGTTTGCCGTGGCCCATGCAGGTTATTTCTGGATGTCAACACTGAGTAAATCATTGCTTGTATTTGTATTACAAGTGTGAGAGAGCAAAGCAAGTTGGTGTGTGCTGTTCTTGTTGATTAGGGCCTAACTCCATTAACCATGATATGATCATCGACCTAAGTTTCAAATTCAGGTTCCACATAAGCATTTGGGATAAGGTTGATTTGCAAAATCATTGTACTAAGTGATGAGGCCAATTACTAATCCGTATTTGAATGATTGTGTCGTATTCAATGGTGAATTAAAGCTTACCCTATTACGTGATATACTAATTTTGTAAAGTCAACCGTAGCATACATCAAATTGTTCTTACATAGATAGAAGCTCACTTCATTGCGTCATTGACAATGGGAGAAATTGTCCAATTAGTTATAAATCTATTGTATGGAAACTAATTCTTTCCTAAACTTTTCAATTTTCTCATTTTAGTTTTAAACCTTCGCGAGAATTCTGATATAATCCTTTGCCAATTTTTGCAAGAAGTTGCCAACATGGCGGTACGCCACGTAAGATGATCGGCGATAATTGGACCATCACGTTAGCAAGGTTTGATTTCACGCAAAGATTTAGCACTAAATTGACAAAATTGAAAATTTTAGGACTCAAGACATCCACGCAATATGTTCTAACCGATCCGGTCATTTTCCCATTGACAACGCATAGCAAAAGGCTTGTTTTCAATGTAAAACAAGCATTATTAGTGACAAGATTCGACTTTACACATTTAATTTCTTAAGTAATATATATATATTATATATAAGCTGCAGAAATGGTCTTTGTCTAAGTAACGTCGGTATATAATAAAATATAAAGGGTGTTGGTAAGATGGTGCAAATAAGAGGAAAAGGAGGACGGGAAAAGAGAAAGGAAAAGAAACGTAAGGACCTCGCCAACCTCGAGAATGTTTCAACGGTCAAATGTCGGCATCCTCGGTCAACGGGTCAACCTTCCCTGCAAAAATCAAACCCTTTTTTCGCAAATTTAGACGCGGTCATGCATTCCAATTTTTTTTAGTGTTTGGTCCCTGCCCGTGACATTAACCCGCCAAGATAAGAATATAACCGATTTGGACGTTTGTATTGAATAGACACTGATTTCCCACGCCTTAATTTGACTCCTCGTCTTACCTTATCCTCGTCAAGTATAAATCAATAATGATGGGTCATCGGTTTGGTTTAACACGGTATCCCGGTTGCTTGACTTTGACCCACTCCGTCACATCTTTTGCCCATCCCCCCTTCTATTTCGATGAAACCCCAATGCCCTATGTAGCAAATTTTTCATACGAACTAACGTGATTTGACGACCGCGCGAAAATGGGTACCTGCAAATATGAAATTAAACATAAATCAGAAAGGGTTTAAAGTGCTCAACGTACAATGTTTTGCGACGGCACGGATTCATAATCCAAAACCGACAAGTGAATATGAATCGTCGGCGTCACTTTTATTGCAAAACCTCCTTTCGATCAGATAGCATTGATTCAAATAAATGAGGAAACACATGAAGGGCCGGTAAAGTCGAGAGATCAGCTTGACCCTCGTTACCTTTGTTTCCCATGAATGCCATTACATTGCCAATCTAGAGCGAAGAAAGCGATGCGATTCAAATCACACTATGAAATAGCGTAAACTAAAAGCAATGACAAGTAAACTTAATTACATGAATTGACATCGCGCGATTTTTCTCTGACAGCTAAGAAGAGATAATTCAGTTCATAAAACGACGCCATGTTGTTTAACATCATATATGGGGACAAAACTAACAAGGGTTGGAATTTTCCCCCCACACACACACACACACACATATATATATATATATATATATTAATCAGTCTATTGTGGGGAATGTATGTTTAGAAGTTCGATTGAAAAATATGCCTGCAATATTAGTTATGTGACTTTTTTGGGGGCAATTATATAAAAATAAAAGCTTTTGAGCTCTCTCTTTATGATAATTAGACCATTTATAAGGGGCCCAGTAGGAATTAGACCAAAGTTCCGATCCCAAAGACCAAAAACAGTAGGCACAAATTGATCCGAAAAGAGCGCGCGCAACGCTGGCCGTCCGATCATTCCGTAGACCGTCAATTCAAATCCCCAATGGGAGGTCGTTGCTCCAAATTCTCCCCCTGCTGCTTCCCGCCACCGCCGCGCCTCCGGCCGCCCTCCGCGCCTCCGTCGTCCTCCGATCTCCGCCGTAGCTGCCTCCCCTCCCTCCCCTCCATCTTCTTCGATTCTTCATCTCGTGTCGAACGTCAGCTCATAAATATTCTTTTTGAGCAGAGAACGGGGGCGAAGGCGAGCGGGAATCATGCCCGAGCTTCAGCTTCACCGAGTTCCGCCTCGAGCAGCTCGAAGCCGCGACGTCCGGATTCTCTCCGGAGAACGTCGTGCGGGACGCCGACCGCGGGGTGCTCGGGGTGCCGGGCGACGTGGTCTACAGAGGCGAGCTCGAGGACGGCCGCTCGGTCGCCGTCAAGCGCTGCGAGAGGGGCGCGTGGCCCGATCCTCAGGGTTTCCTCGTGCGTTTGACCGCTTGAACTCGGCTCCCTGTCAGATGTTGTCCGTTTAGGTTTTTTAACTGTAGTGATCGATGAGGCGCGGCTTGAATTCGGAGGTGACTTTTGCAGGAGGAGGCGAAATCGGTGGGGAGCTTGAGGAGCGAGCGCCTGGCGAATCTGATAGGATGCTGCTGCGAGGGCGATGAGAGATTGCTGGTGGCTGAGTTCATGCCCAATGAGACGCTTGCCAGGCATCTTTTTCTCCGTGAGTCTTTTTCTTTTCTTTCCTTTCCTTCTGCTTTAGAAGATGAGGAGTAATTGACTGGTGATGTCCATGTGAAGTCGAGTCGTCCCGTGATATCTCTTAGTAACGAGTTATGCGCACGGATCGGCATATTTTACCTCCCTGCGTAGGATTCCTCTATTAATCTGAAAAATGATTTCGTGTAGAAAAGAAGAAACGCGGTTGCAGTTGAATCGCCAGTGCTGTTCTTCAAGCAAAGTCATTAGCTTGAACATGACTGTTTGTTGTGGTTTCTGTTTGAATCTACAATTTTGTCATTGATCTAGGGAAGACCCCACCGATGAAATGGGCAATGAGACTGCGGGTAGCCTATTATTTGGCACAAGCATTAGAGTATTGTAGCAGCAAAGGGAAGCCATTGTACCATGATTTGCATGCGTACAGGGTTTTGTTTGATCAGGTATTGGTATTTACGCAGCTTCGCCTCTGTGTCATGCATTAAATTCTCTTCTAAATGGCTTGATATCATGGTAGGATGGCAATCCCAGGTTGTCCTGTTTCGGCCTTGTGAAGAACAATGTAGATTGGAGGAGCTACCGCACTAAATTAGCTTTTCCATCCCCTGAATATTTCAGAACAGGTGGATACTCGACACACAAGTATCTGAGTTATGTTGCTACTCTTTGTGCCATTATTGAGCGGGTGGTAGACTTTGGCCAACTATGAACATGGTCTAAATCTTTTCTAAAAATTAAGAATTCTCCGTTTCATTCATTTCTTCATTTTCATGGTGTGGCACTTTATCATGCAGCATAAGCAATGGTTAAAGAGAAGATACAATACGAAAATTCTTCAAGGAGAGAGTAGTTGCTTCTTAGTTTAGGGCAATTTGTCTATGTGGAGTGTCTTCGCCTAGGGCCTAGAGATGATTGATGTAGAAGATCCCTGCATGATTGCTTATGCCGATAAGTGCGCTACCGGATTTGAAACTCTTGGGTTCCAATCTGGCGAAAGTTATATCTCTCGTTTCCAAGATACAAAATGAGAGCAATTCTCACTTAGAAATTGTAAATTTAATTGTGCTGACTGTACTCTACGTATGGTTCAACAATTGGAGCTTCTTTTGGATGCAAAGACTTCTTTATCAGTAGTAATTTTGTATACTTCTTCATGGTATTCAAATGACACCCTGTGGATTTTAAGACAGAATAATCTTCAGACTTTCACGATCTTCTTTCCCTTTTTCACAAAACACAGTTTACACGGAGGGCACCAATCAACTGTGTGCCAACCCAAGTAAATATGCTTCCAACAATTGGGAAGATAGTATTGGTATATAAATTGGAACTTTACTTGGTGTCTGTTTTTAGTTAAGTCATCTTGGTAAGCATTAATCCTGAAAATATGGAACTACTTAGTTTTATATCTTGGATTTGTCCTAAAATTGATATGGTACTGCACAAGTGATGTTTACATGTCTTAATCATAAGCAAACAGCTGTGACCTTGACATGAAAAATATTAACAAAGAGCGAAATTTTACCGCTGATCTTGACAGGTCTAAATTTCTTGTACTGCTGTGATTTTGAGTCATTATCTCCATATCAGGATTTGCTAGGAAGCATTTTTGAAATTTGAAATGAGCTTGTTTGCAAAATGGATCTAAGTTATAACTACCAGAAAATGACCTTATTTTGGCAGGTACGATGAGTGCAACAAGTGCGATTTACAGTTTTGGTACCATGTTGCTCGATCTACTTTGTGGCAAAAACATTCCGCCCGCACATGTATGTCTCATTCAGATATTTCAACTGCAAGTGGAAATTTGTACTACTCTGCACACTTTGTATTTTGTAAAGAATTTGGCTTATATAAGCAATAGTCAAGAATCACTCTTAATCAGAAGATTACAGAATTAAACTTATTCATTGGCACTCAGCTTCAACAATTCTCAAGATTCAAGACAGGCATACCTATATGTGCATTTGTACTATATGTAACGTTTGTGTATGTTATAGTATAATCTAAACTAAGTACTACATGACTAAAATCTACAAATTACAGGCACCTATAGCAACATATATAAGGCCACTGCGTGATGTAGGCTTCCCTTATACACATACATGCACAGTAAATGAATACGCATGTTTAGTTGTACCTCTGCATGAGCACTTAAATAAAGACAATGCCTAGTCCTTCACCTGGGGTGCAAAATTGAGGATTCAACCAGATTTACATCTCACCCTTATCATATAAAGCAGCTGCTTCAGCCAACTAGAAGATCAGTGGTGTTTGAATATCAAAATGTTATGCCTAGCTAATACCAAGAAGCCTTATCTGTAAGATTTGGTCACTTATCATGGGCATCAAATGATGTAGTTAAAAGTTTGATGTTGTCTTGAATTGGAGTATCTAGAATTCAAGATATTAATAATATGAACATCTTCTTTAAGCTTTGATAGAGTGATTATGGGCCTTCCATAGTGTCTTTGCGATCTTTCTTTTGAATACAATCTTCAAGGATACCAGCCATAGTGAGCTGCTATGCTTGTTTCTCCTAGAAAACATTTGCGTATCCTACCATCTTGTAAGAAGTTGCCATGACACATATAGCCAAGAAGATGCAATGAAAATGCTGGCCTAATTATCTTTTCTGCACGGTAGACAATCTAGTTCCTCTTACTTCTGGATATTTATGTTAATCAATATGCTTTATACATTGTTGCCCCATTCATGTCAGCTTGATTTTTTTCGAAAAGATGGAGCGATCCTAACACTCATTATCTTTATACACTTTACTTTATTTTTGCGTCTCAAGCGTAAGGCTTCGTTTAAACGCACAAGTAAGTGTTAAATGATAAGGGTTTTGTTAACGAGGCACTATCAAATAAGGAAACCTTATAGTTTCCAATGCATTGATTACACCATGTATTATGCATAATCAGTGCTTTGAAAATTGAATTATTCCAAAAAAATTATACCTAACAAATGCTTCAGGGGCACTAGTTGAAAACACTCGGATAATTAAAGAACGACTTGCTAGACAATTTAAATAACCACTCTCTCCCTTGTTTCACTTTTCAGGCGCTTGACCAAATACGAAGCAAGAACTTCTTGATGTTAATGGATTCTGCTTTGGAGGGTCAATTTTCGAGCGCAGATGCTATTGAGTTGTTTCGCTTAGCTTCCCGTTGTTTGCAGGATGAAGTTCGTGAGAGGCCAAATGCCAAGTCACTTGTTACAATTCTGAGATCACTACAGAAAGAAGCAGAGGTATCCAGAATAGTTCATGTTCTTCTTTCTCTTATCAGGGTTCTTAAACATATAAAATGCCACACTTAAACTCTTAAAGGTGTTCGACCAAAAAAAAAACTGTCAAAGGTGTTATGCAGTTGAGGCATTCATCTGCTCATAATTCTCTTTTCATCAGTATTTTATTCAAAAATCAGCTGGGCTATCCCTTCATGCATGACTCTTCTTGTTCCGTCATGAACACAGTTCACATCATAATCAACATGAACTTCTTAGCAGGACCAAATTTCTGCTCAACCTGATATGTACATAAATTGAAGAATGTAGTTATTCAAATTCTACAAATCATTCTTGGATTATAGTTTCCTGCTTTGTTTAGGCCAAGGTGCTTTGTACTCGTTTCTTAGTGCCACGCCTTTCTGAATGTATTAAGCTTACAAGTATGTTGATTGCAGTAGTAGATACAACACTCTTGAACAGATGAACTTCTTCGAAGGAGTTACTTATTGATCAGTGAAAGAGCAGGTACCGTCACATGTTCTGCTGGGTGTCAAAGAGGAAGTCTCCATAACAGAAGCACTTGTTCGAACACCCTTAGGACAAGCTTGTTCTAGAATGGATCTCACTGCCATTCATGAGATCCTGGAGACGAATGGATACGAGGATGACGAGGGAATTGGCACTGAGGTCTGTCTTTGTTCTTTCATACTTTTAATTTTTCCTAGATGGAGTAAAGTCGTATCATAATTAATTTGTGCACTAGGATCAATGTACATATAATTTGTCTTTAAAAGGTAAAAGGACAGAAATTGGGCGCAAACCGTCCTACTTAACTTTGATAAGGAATCTTGCCTAAAAACCGACTTTCATAAGAAGAGGGAAACGTCTGTTTTACTCTTCCCTGCCACAATTGTGTTTTAGAAAAACGTGTTCATCAGAAAACAACTTCGATGGAGTTAGAACCAACGGGGCAGAAGAAAAGGAGAAATATGTAAACAGGTCTTTGATACTGAACTAAACCAAACTAAATTTTGATTATTCGATTCAATTTGGTTCCAAGAGAACTAAACCAATTGGCTCACTTTTTTTTTTTCCAAAAATTAATTTGATTAGATTGTAAAAATCGTATTAGTCCTAGAACAGTAACGGATACAGTTGGACGGTGGCAAACGGCCAAAAAAAGAAAAAGAACTGCAAGAGAATGTCGAGATGGTGACAGAAAAACTTCAAAAAGTAGGCAAAAATTTAGGAAAGTGGTCAGGAAGAGGCTAGAGCGGTGGATTTTTTTACTGATAAATTGCCATGGTTCTCCTTTAAATCTTAACTTAATTAACTCTGGAAAACCTTTTGAACAACCCCCTTCACATCAAAGAAACATGTAAAGGCAAATAAAAAAGTTCGGCTTCTTGGCGGCTTGGATCTCCTTCGGAAAAAATAAGATTGTAACAGAATGGATGGCCATGAAATGGTTCGGTTTGGTTTGTGAACTGATTTTTCCAAATGTCCTCTCTGAATTGAACGGAATTGAAATGAAAATCATAGTTCGGTTCAGTGTTCAAACCATATTATCTCAACCATAAGTGAATAAAAACAGAAACCTCCCTCCTCATCCCTTTGTTCCAAAATGCATTTGATAATTAATAAATTTCTGAACAGCAAGAATTCCTTTCTGTATAAGGAAGGTGCTATTAGGTTTGGATGTCAAATTGATCTTCTATTAAGTGAGCTGCCTTTGGAACTACTATTGGACTCAGACAGTACAGGCTGAAGTCAATTGTTGCTCAGAAAACTGGTGCAGCCATATTTTTTTTTTCTTTTCCCGCCGATAAGTGATAAGTTTGTCATTACAAGTCTGACTGTCAAAGCAATCGGCTGTTGATAATTCAATTGTTCGATTACCATGTAGAAGTGAAATTTATTTCTTCCTGCATGTTGATGTTGTCTCTTCATTAAAAAAAACAGAAATGTTCTTTCCTTCACCATGATCTGACTCTTAACACATTTCAAATTATTATCCCATTGCAGTTATCCTTCCAGATGTGGACTAAGCAATTGCAGGAGATCTTGAATTCTAAGACGCGTGGAGATGCTTGTTTTAAAGCTAAAGAATTTGCAGCTGCCATCGATTGCTATACACAAGTGAGTCTTGTATTAAGTTGGTGTAGCTTCACGAACGTGAGAAAACTGGGAATTATCTACTTGTAATGCATACTTACCCCAGGGTTAGATTCTTGTAGATTCATACAAACAGCTTACTTCTGTGTATATTATCTAGAACAGGCCAATACTACCTAGAAGTTCTCAGACAACAAATTTGCCATATACAATCTAATTTATGTTGAATAGTGGGCGATTTGCATATGGTAGAAGCCTAAATATCTAGTTACGGATCCTTACCAAAAAAAAAAATATCTAGTTACGGAAGGTGTAGTCCAGTCTAATGCGAATGGGCTTCTACTGGGTTCCTAGTTCCTGTAACTGTCAACAGAAGGAAGTTTCAATGTTGCTTCTTGTGTTCTCGTGCAGTTCATCGAGGGCGGTTTGCTGGCGTCGCCTACGGTCTACGTGAGACGGTGTTTCTCGTACGTGATGAATGACATGCCAAGAGAAGCTCTTGGCGATGCTGTGCAAGCCCTGGTGATTTTCCCTGATTGGCCAACGGCTTTGTACCTTCAAGCTGCCTGCCTGTTGAGGCTTGGCTCAGAAGATCAAGCCAACCAGTGTCTTAGAGATGGTGCAAGTTTAGAAGCTAAAACAAATAGACATTGAAGAAGCATATGTTTATCATTTGTTTTGTTAGTGCTTATTTTGTGTTTTCTTCTTTGTCTAAAGTCGCATCAATCGAAGTCATTGTCAAGTCAGTTGTCTGAGGAAGATGGTAGGCTTCATCCAATTCATATTGTGATCTCTTATGTTATCCATAATGTTTCATCAACTAGTCGATGATGAATGACAAACTCGGAAAATGATACAAAATGCTACTACTGCTTCTAGTTAGATCAATGAGGCACTTCGAGAACACTAGATCCTCTTTTCTCTAACTCCTACCAGATATAGAGTCGAAATCCAGAAGCACACAAACTGAGGTTGCGGAGAAAAAGAGCACAATACTCTGCAGAATGTTTTGTGGAGATATTAATCCTATTTACAACTCCACCCAATACTCAAATCGGGTTTACAGTGGAAGTAGATGAAGATTGAACCCTGATGATTACGAACCTATAAATTATGGGGGAACTCGCATAGATGAATAAGTTGGACAAGTATGAACAAACACATGAAATCACATGATGAGCTGCGTAAACACCGAGAAGCTCATGGCTAATCTATACTCAAGCACCAACTACCTGGAAACGTGCCCTGCAGGCTCCTTTACAACTCTGTCTCAATCTCTTTGTCCCTTTTCTTTGTACTATGTACTTCTTGAAAGAACCAGATACATAAATTCACGAGGATGGCATTCTGAAGTGGAACAGCCATGATATGACAAATGCAAATACCATGCAAGCGAGCAGAAAATTTAGTAGTCGATGGCCATGCCAGAAGCTTCGGGTTTCAGAAGGAGGTATTGGGGCCAAGACTGCAGACGCAGCCGTGGCACTATGGGTTTCATTTGACTGCTCTGTCGCCTCTATCTCACTTGCACCAGACACATTACGTGCAATGGACTGGCAGATCTCACAGGTCCTGTAATACGCAGAATGATATTGAATGTAAATGCAGGTAAAGAGCAGAAAATAGCAGAACAAGTTTACCAGGCTGGGCAAGCTCAGTTTCGCATGTCATTTTGAATAGAGAAAGCTTTTGAAGAGTTTAAAATCTATCCAAGAGCACTACACAACACACCAAAGAAGGCCTCAAAATTACAGAAACACAAATTAGCAAATTTCGTTTTCAATCATTTAGGGAGACAAATGGTCCTTGGAGTTTGGAAAAAGAATTATCAAGTATAATGACAGTGCAGTAAATTCAAAATCTTCGAGTAATGCAATCATAACAAATAATTAGAATCAGAACGACAATTCACCATAGGCCAATGGATAAGCCAAGTAGATATTTGATGTTTCAAGAACATAGAGATTCTTGTAATACACAGTATTACATGGACGAGACAGTGTAGAGTAAGTGTAAGTTTCTGATCGTGTCCCAAGAATGGTCTAGGTTGGCTTAAGAAATGGCACACCAAGGTTGTCATAATACAGAACATCATATAAAAGAGACAATAGATAATTGAAAGTTTCTGATAGCGTGAGCCAAAGAACATACTAGGTTGGCTTCTGAAATGCCATACCAACACCGCAAGATCCTTGCAACGCACTTGTGACATAACACACTAACAAGTGCCAGCTCTTGCAGAGTCTACCGTGGTACAATGGCCTAGGCTTGCGTTGCGAGATAAAAAGGTGCAAAAATAAATCCTTACTGTTTCAGTCCCTATTGAACTCGATCTCAGATTGCCTAAAGGACATTATGCATCAAACAGATTGATCTGATTCAGTATGGCAACGTGGGCAGGGGGAGAAAGAGAAATGGCCAAAGGAAAAAGTAAGGATAAAAATACACTTCTGTTTTCTTTCTGAAGCTCAAGGTAGATCGGCTCTCAGATCGTTTCTATCTTTTTCTTTTATAAGTAGGCTCTCGCATTGTTCTATCTTGTCACTCCTTTTTCCCTTTTCTGTCAATTTGCTGTGCTTCAGTCAGAACCAGTCATAGTGAAACCTTAAGTGATGTCTTTTCACAAGTAAAAGGAAGTTCTGCAACAAACATGTGGTGATTCCTTTCCTTTTCAGTGCCAAGGGAAATAGTGGCAACGGTATATAGAGCCTAGTCTGGACTACTCCAGTTATATAACGAAAATGGAATGAGGAGCATCGTTAAAAAACATTATGGCATGAGCAGGCTGCTTCAGATTGTTAAGTGGGAACGGTACAAGTGAAGTAGCTAAATTTAGGAAGTGCATTAGAAGTCCTAAAACATTTGTGTGGAGAGTAGTTCAGTCCTAAAACTATTCAATGGAAAAATTAAGTCTTAAAACTAATAACAAAATTTCAATCAAGTCCTTTTGTAAAAAATTTGACGAAATTCCTTTGGTGGCTATGCCATTCACTGCCAGTCGCACTGGCATGTAAGATTTCCATTAAATTGATTGACAAAGTTAAACAGAAGGACTCAATCGATCATTCTTCTAAAGTTTTAGGCCAAAGATCACTCCATCAGAAAATTTTGGGACTGAGTTGCGCCAAATTTTGAAATTTGCCATGCACTTAAATAGTTTTTTTTTTTTTTTCAATTATGGTCCAGAGTCACGCTTCAAACAAATACTACCGAGTGGAAAAAAAAGAATTGATTTGTGCAAAGCACAAGAGGTCATGGGATTCTCCGCAGACATTCAAGAATGCCAACTGCTATCAGGAGCTGCCTACAGAAACATTAAACTTCTGCAATTTAAGCAAGTCCTGAGGAGAAAAGCTGAGAAGAATAGGACATAAGATCATGGATTCTTGTTCTTGGAAGCTAACATAATGAAGCCGCTCTTTATTAAAAAAAATTAAACGTTGCTATGAGATGCAAAGACAAATGCAAATGACTCGCCAGAGAATGAATATGGACCACTAGGAATCAACCGCACTTGTAGTTAAAGCAAAGGACCACAAGAAAGGGGCAACAGTGGAGATTCCAACACAATTCAGGAAAAAGAGATTAGGCAACAAGGAATCATCAGGCCAGATAGACACTTCATCAGGACTCTCTTCTGCTTCACTCTCTCTCTCTCTCTCTCCTACTAACTTTACCAAAACCAGCTCTAATGTCATTTCACTTTGCGTCTAAGTTCATCAAGCCTGCCACAAATTATTTGCATTCAATCCACACTAATTCTTCCATGATGAATGCTCACACTTCAAAATAATAAATCATAATTTGCCGGAAACAAGCGTCGATTGACAAACAGAGACTCGTCATCTAGAACCAAATCCATGTGCAGTATTGTGCGTGCTCAAGTGACATCAATAAAAGCCACACAGAACACGAACCAATTTACAGAAAGCCAGGCATTGAAGGAACCAAATATATAAGCGTGATTGAGTATCGTGACTCACTTGTTGCCCTTGATCTTGAACCAGGTCTCAGCACAGTTCTTGTGAGCAGTAGCCAAATCGTCCTTGCAAGCGCAACCCAATTCAATGGCGACACCGGACTCGTGGCTGTTGCTCTCCAAACCCAAGTGGCAAATCCTGCAATCTCTCTCTCTCTCCCTCTCCGCCTTCCCCAAATGCACCTTCACTTCTCTCTCCACCACCTCGATCTCCACCGACTGCTCCGACCCGGAGGATCGCCCCCGCCCTCCCGAGGCCGTCGCCTCGCGACCCGACGCGCAGGCGAAGCTGCACTCGTCGTAGGACCCGCCGGTGGTGGAGTAGAACGGGGAGCGGCACGAGCCGTCGCCATCGTCCGCGTCTGAGAAGCACGCGCTCCCGTCGTCGTCGTCTTCGGCGCTCGCATCACTACGGCGACGATGACCCCCCTGCTCCAAATCGACGTGGGAAACATCTCCGTCCCTCATTTTCCCGAAGAACCCAGAAGCGAGGAAGTGGACTACGAGCTCCGACGAAGCATCGCGAGGCTTAAAGCTCGAAGCTTTAGCAGCAGCTCGCGCGGATTCGGGGGTTTGGTCCCAGAAAGATTAGATATTTCTCGCTGTCGACGTCCGTTTGGCAAGAGACCGGGACATGCGACATTGTGGGGAAATTTTTACAGCGAGTCACGTTACGGAATGACAAGCCAAAACGTAGCGAGAAAACGATGGAAAGAAGAAGCAAAAGATTGCTAATTTAGACGGGCACTGCCTGATAAAGATGGAGGCTTGGAGGGTGTTGGGGGAGAGAGAGAGAGAGAGACTCTGGTCTTTAGAGAGAGAGACGATGTCTCTGTCCAATTGCAGATCGTTGGAGAGAGAGAGAGAGTGAGAGAGAGAGACTTCATATATGGGAAGGAGGGAGACAACTGGAGACCACAGGACCGGATAAGCAGACGTGAGCTGGGGTTCACTTCGCAAAGGTGGCTCGAGACGAGGCTGTTTCTGCATGTCGTGTAGCACGGGTCGGAACCGTATGATGGAGCAGACCGGGGGACGTTCGGGACACGACCCCCGTTCGGTCATTGTTGGGGGAACAGGAGGTATTCGTGTACGTTTTTGCCACTGTTTCGGTCACGATCGGAAAACGAACTTCTCATCCTTCCATCCCTAAATGCCCACCCCTCCCATGCCTAGACCAGAAAGGGAGACAAAAGATTCTTGAATCGTGCCTCGTCACTACTTCTTTTTCACGAGGGTTGGGCACGGGATGGGCGATATCCCGCTGCCTCTTGGTGCCCGGACCCGAACATGGTGCCATTTCCACCCCCGCGAGAAACCGGCGACGGGGGTTTTGGCGGGGCAGGGAAGCTAATAAGCCTGCCTCTCCCTGTTTATATGTAATTTTTTTAAAAAAATTGTATTTTAGATATTTAGTTGATTGATGTGAATAGTAATTACATATGGTATATCAAAATGTAGATTTGCAATATAGCTCATGATATCGGAATTATCCACTTAAAATTGCAATTAAATCTTTTCGTATCTAAAGTGTACATAGTTATATATATATATATATATATATATATATATATATATATATATATATATTTTCATTCGACTTTATGTTAATTTATATGTTGCAAAAAAAAATTACTTTCCAAGGGGCTAAATTGGTATATCTCTTGCGTTGGTTTATCTATAACTATACTACTATAAAGCAAAGAAGGATTCCTTCCTTAATAAAGAAAAAATCACTGAAATTCCATTAACGACAATGCCCGTGGTGAGTTATGTATTTCCTTAAGAGAAATAGTATGCACAGGATAATAATCTGGTATCTATATATTTCCATTAATGGCAATGCTCGTCCTACATGGCGCAGCCAACACTAACATGGACATTTTTTTTTTATAATATTTTGAATATTTTATTATTTTTTCTTTTTCGTTTTTTCCTTCTCTTTCCTTTAGCCCGTGGCCGATACTCGGCTATGGCCGGCGACTGGCCACAAGCGAGGATGTTCAGCCTACCGACGAGGGTTGAGATTCCCTCTCTGGCCACCGATCGCCAGCCATGGCAGATTATCGGCCACACGCCAAAGGAAAGAGAAGGAAAAATAAAGAATAGAAAAAAGAAAAAAATATTTTTTTTAAAAATTAATAAAAATGCAAAAATTATTTAAAATTTATTAAAAATATCCACATTAGCGCCTACCATCCGCCGGCCGTGCCATATAGGGTGGCTAGTGTCCACATCAGCGATTTCCGGCTTAAATTGGCCAAATGGATTTAATTGGTACCAATATAAAAATGTTAAGGACTAAATTGATCAAATTGAAAGATTTAAGACTAAATTGGTACAAATGCAATATGTTTATGACTTTTTTGATGTTTTTCCCAAACATATACACTTGTGTAGATCTCAAAATTTTTCATCCAACATAAAAAATTGAAAACGTACAGAGTTATAAAAAATGTGATTTAAAATTATAGTGCTCCAGCCCAATCTTCCACTTGGCCTGTTCCACTCTCCCAGCATTAACGGCCTCAACAAGGCTAGAATCCGCTATGTAAAACTTGAGATGTTACACAATGCACTACTTCTACTTGAAACTACTGGAGCCGTTTCTACAAACTCAAGCACCTCTTATAACACTATATCATTCTCTATTCTGATTATAATTATTCATGCCCTTTATAGAGATTTACAATCATAAATAACTTTATTTGCACAAAGGGAAGCAAGATAATTCAATGAGAGAGAGAGAGAGAGAGAGAGAGAGAGAGAGAGGGAGTTGTCGGTGAGCTTCTTAATTTCTAATCAAAGTAATTGCCACCAACTACTTTCATTATATGTTTTCAAAGACTTCCAAGCTTCAAAATATCTGTTGGAAGCTTTTATATCCAATCAATTAGCCATTGATGTGACCTACTTTGACTATCAAATTGCTTTTCTGCGGAGTATTATAGGCCATTTACTAAAGTAGAACCCTCTATTTCTGCGATCTGCCTAATATTTGATTTACTCCAGTTGCTTTTAGCAAGATTTTTCACTTAAAAATAACTATAAAACACTAATTTGGATACAATTTAAATTAATATAGAACTGGGTTTTCCCACCGGCATGTAGACGCTTCTATGTAGAACTATCCCTTCCGTGTGAACTTTATTATATGGTCTGTTCACCTTTTATAAACAGGTTCTTCCAAGAATGGTGACCTCTTCATGTTCTATAAAGTTGTTCCCCTTCTCGAGCTTGTTCTCCTTCTACAAAAGTCCTTCAGACTTAGTCACATTACCCATAGAAGGAGAATAGGTTACCTACTTGCTTTTCTCATGTTATCTTCCAGATCTAGTTACTTGAAGTTCAAATATGAGAAGCGAGGCATAATCATGTAAGCTAAATAAATTAGAGCATTCCGACCAAAAATAAAGTTAGAGCAAGAAGTGTTCATGAACTTATAAGCACAACTCGCTCTCTGGGTGGTGTTAACATGTATGAGATTTGATGTGAGTTACCACATTTTTGCAGACTCAACATTTTATCAGTGTTTCTATAGAGTCGGCACTTGTTCCTCAGTGCTTCTGCGGACTAAATACCTGTATCTACAGATTTGACTTCTTCCATATATGCATTAAATACAAGTATAATGACGTAATTCGGGAGAAATATAGAAAACGTATGCATGTAAGCATCAAAACAACTTGTTTCGCCTAAAAATTACCAAGGAAAAACCTTTCAATTGACAAAAGATGTGAAGAGTCTTTTGTTAATTATTGGATAAGAAGGCGAATTGACGAGAAAATTAAAAGTGAAAAAACCGGAGGCAATTGCGGCTTTAATTCTTGATGGTTAATACGGACCATATTTCCCAGCCTTTATGGTCAGTGGATTCCGAGATCTTCGGCTTCACTACACCATGATCTGGTCAGTGGATTCCGTGATCTTCGGCTTCACTACACCATGATCGTGTCAGTTCCATTTCACCGTGGCCATACCCGCTCGCCCAAACAAAAAATTGCCTCCAAAACTATTGGTCCCATTGCCAAGGTATTTACCTAGCATCCAACCCATCATAATTTTTGTTTGTTGCGTCCCTTTTGTTGATTGAACGAAACTTCATTCGCGACACCGATGTCTCAAGACTTAGTAATTTTCCTTTGTTCTCGTTATCGGCAATTATTTAGTTGTCTTGTCGACTGTCCATATTTATCGACTGAGAGCTCTCAACACTTAGCAAATATTACTTCCGCGATATTTTGCTCGCCACTCCTGATCCGAGTCGTCAGTCGAAGATTTGGGCATTTTTTTGTGTTTACACAATTGCATCTCCTTTTTGTCACGATCAAAAGAGAATAACCAAGAGGAGAATCATGATACTTTCCTGTAAGGAAGTTCATAGATCCAAACAGCATAAACAAAAAAAAGATAAATACACAGGGCTTCTAATTTTTAAAGCATAAAAAATTTCTTCTTTTACCGTGAGGTTTAGGGAGATTTTGAGGTCTGGGTTTGCTGAAGGTAAAGGTTGGTGACCTCAAAGCACGAAAGAAGCTGACTCTTTTGGTCTACGTCGTGAAGGTGATAGCCCATGGCCTTTCTATAGAGCTTCCACCTTCTGCGAAGTTTCAGTTATCTATTCAAGAACTTCTACCTTCTTGATGTGTGGGCGTGATGGGAATGCGTTTTAAGTGATAATGTGAATTTCGATTGATGATAAAGATCACCAATCAAGTTTAAAGATCGGGATAGATAAAATTCATCCACATGGCCTCAAGGAACATGACTAGATTAGGATAAAGGACTTCGCATAGACGAAAGGACAAGCCACTGATCATGGACAAAGGACTTCCAAATAAGAGAAGTCCAACACCAAAGCCTAAAGAAAACGAATCAGCCAAGGATAAAGGACTTTTTGATTTACTACCAAGGAACTTGTATAAAGAACCGGGATAGAAATCCTCTGTTTTCTTGCAGAAAATTTCCTTGGTCAAAGAAAATGCAGCCACAAATATGAAGGAACACAGATGGGAATGATGGCGAAGGTCAAGGGTAAAGCTTCTTCTGTACAAAGAAAGATAAACAGAGTAATCCTCATAATTATTGTTTTTCCATTTAGGAAGAACAGAAACTTCAATGCTAATGGACAAGACGGATGCGACTCGCCCTCGTGAATCAGAACATATGGCCACACCTTATCAGAGTAATCCTCTCACAAGACCCACCACAGACTGAGACTCTGATACTAATACCGTCCGGTCTGAACTCTAAGATCGATCGAAGAATTCATGATAGAACAAGAATGGAAGTTGCATGGATATCTGCGACGTTAGAGACCTCTTTGAATTCCGCAAGAAAAAGAAACAGCCAGGATAAACAGAGTATAAGGAAAGACATTCCACGCGTTGACAGAAGCTACGAATGAATCGAGATCAAACTGCGAGATTCAGCATAAACATAGCATTTTGCTAAGTACTCATGCATCAGTAACCGAAGTTCAAAACTGTGTGCGCTTGCCCTCATTTTTTTTAAGGCCTTTGAGAATAAACATGCACGGGCTTATCCTGTATTGACTCTCTGGTCTCTACAGCCCTCAAGTACTCTTTGGGCAAAAGGAGGTCCAACAGTACCACAAAGCACCTACAATACGTCCTACAACACATTGAAATAAAATAAGGGCCTCCTTGAATTTCCGGCATAAAAATTGCAACAACCATTTTTGGACTCCTCTTTTCAATGTTCACGTTTTACCTGAATCTAACCGGTCCTAGCAGAATACCCACTTGCCCGAGGTTGACTGTGCATTCGCCGTAATGTTCCTTGACTTGCTGTTTCCCTTTTCGATATCAAAATAGTTCCTCTTTCTCTACTCTTTCCTAACATGTTAATGAAGCCTTGTCTCGCCTTCAGATGCCCGAGAGATCTGACCTAGAAATCAGAAGAATCTAATGCCCAGCTCTGTCGTCTTTCGTCCTTACACTGTTATTGTCAAGTCCGCTTCGAAGCCATGCGAGGTTGCTTATATCTGCGGCTATCGATGCCAATTCATAATTTGGAAAAGATTGGGGCTCCAAGTAATCCACAAATTCTGGGCCCAGTATGGAGTTCTGAGCACCAGCAGCATTGTTACCATCGCAACAACCATAACCACAATTGTGAGGCACCAATCGTTCACCATAAACGTCATCAAGCAACCTAGAGAAACCATGATCCTGTTTCAACGCTTGACCATAGTGTTCCGAAGCAGGAACTGAGCCCATAAATGGCAATGCAGGTTGTGGACCTTCCGAGCGATTGAACACATTGAATGCACTGACACGTGCGACAGGACGGAACAAAGTAGGCTGATCCTTTGGTCCATGATTGAACTGATCCTTTTGTATTGACTTTTCCTCATATTGGTCGCTTGTGTTTTCCAGAGAACTGACATCTTTTCCCTCCAAGGACTTCGGTGAATTGGCTTCTCCACATGAAAGTGTTTCTTCAGATGATGCTTTTATTCTGTCCAAGCTAGCATCGTCAACTGTGTTACTAGATTCCACCTTAATCTTTTCGAGTTCCATGCTCCGGCGCCTAAGGGTGGAATTCCAATGGTTCTTGATGGCATTGTCTGTTCTCCCCGGGAGAAGTCTTGCTATTGATGCCCACTTGTTCCCGTGTATCGCATGGGCTGCAATTATGATCCGATCCTCCTCGTCTGCAACAAACGTAGTTTAGGGGCATTATCCAACATGAAGACAGAAGATCTCACTCTAGAGGTTTCCAATGTATCCAGAACACAACATATAGAAGCTAGAAGCTGAATGCGAAGCAATAAACATGATCCACCATGAGGGAACTCTTGGAATGGCTTATCCATGATGTACCCTGAACCGAAGAGTTTAATGTAAACCACTTGGCTACTTCTAAAATGTCCACGATATTAGGTGAAACTGCTCGTCAGTCAGTAGGATACACACATTTAAAATGGCTAGTCTTAGGTTCATTTCCATCATTCTAAGCACTGTGAACTGAAGGAAATCAACTATTATGGCTAACTCATCTACATCTGCTACATCATTTATCAACTATTTCTTCTCTCTTTTTTTCCCGGACTGAATGAATGAGAAAACAATAGAATCAGGCACCAAACATTTGGATAGCAAAAATAGTAAGCAAGAGTCGGAAAAAGAACTTACACATGCACACCACGCATGTTCCTACAGGATCATATGAATATAAAATCAAAAGGAAAGCCGTCCACGTGCCTCACTTTGCAAATTTTACTTTATTAAACCAGGTAAAGATTCAATCACTAGCAATAGACATGACAAACGGAAAATCAGTCTACATCCAACCTTCACACTTTTAGGAACTTTAAAGATTGAGGATATCATGGTTGAATCCTTAAGTTCGAACCTTTCTGCATAGAAATGCAGTGCCCGTTGTCTGTCACTCGGTATTTCATAGTATAAGAACCAAAAACCAACATAATATTCTACTCCCTTAATAGTCACAGTCAGTACCGCATAAATGAAAAATATCTGAATTCACTGGTAGAAACAGAGAAGCATGCAAATAAAGTTCCAACTCCTCCATTTTTTAAAAACCAGATTGTTTGTCGTCCCTTCACAATACAGCTCCCAGTACTACAGTAAAACGATGATGATCGTCCCCTATTTTTCTTGAGTAACCATCTAAATCCATACCGAGCGTCCTCAAGCTTGGTTCTCAGATAATTCCATCAAGGCAATCCAGTTTCACCAATTACATTAGTTCATGATTTACCCGGTTCCTTAACTGAAAGTATTATGGTTAGCCCTCATGAAGATGGCACAAAACCTACACGAGCTATTCTGATTATACAATCTCTTGAAATGCTTACAGTAAGAGGCTTTCGCAAAGCAATGGTTGGTGCATCCCAGGATATTAGGTGTATCATTGCCGCAGCCTATCTTCACAATACATTGAACAAAAGTTTGAAACTGCAACATCTTCATATCCTTCGTCTTTATCACGCACACTAACAATTCTCATCCTAAGGTAGTATTTTTGTAGCCAATTTTGATCAGAGCTGTATTACATTTTTCATTCTATATATTGTGGGCGACATATTTTAAAGAAGACAGAGACCAGTATTCCAGATCAAAATCTTCATCAATCACAAAGGCAAAGGCATCTGTCAATTGGTCAGATGAATAAAACATTCATTTATACTCATCAGTGCTACATTACATGACATGAACAAAAGTACACACAGCTTAGCACAAAGACTCCAGAAAAATATTCATTTGCTATCGTATTTCTTGTCTGGTTTAAAAACAAGTGGGTCACTTGGAGTTCATGATAGGCATCACATCGCGGTTAGATGGCTTTATTGAGTTAATCATCCGCGGATAACAATTTGCAATTCTTTTCAACGATTATTAACCAACTATCTTGTTTATGAACAAGATGATTATAACGCCGAACTTGTTCAACAATCCTTCATCCAATTTTTTCCAGGCATCCACATCCTCTAGTCAAACTAAATTGACTACAAGTGAAGAAGGCCGTGCAAGATGCAAACTACCCATAACGAAAAGAAGGGAAACCAACTCCCAGAAACACAGGGCACGCGTGAAAAGACTATATGCACACCTCTCACGAAATGAAGCACAGAAAAATCCCAAACGAGAAAATCACCGGATAAACCAGAAAATCGACAAAGATCAAATTTTGACCCCAGAAATGGTAAAAGAAAACTCAACCCAAAGACAAAGCTGAAGATCAACAATCAAGTTTCGAAAAAGACCATCTTTTCTCCGTTTCATCGCGTGTGAATGCGGAAGAAGAGCGAAAAGGAATTACCAGCGAAGGGCTTGCGCTTCACGGCGGGGTCGAGCTGATTGCACCACCGGAGGCGGCAAGACTTGCCGGATCGCCCGGCGATCCCGCGGGCGATCAAGCTCCAATTCCTCGGACCGAACTTGCTGACGAGCTGGCTGAGGATCGCGTCCTCTTCGGGCGACCAAGGCCCCTTCACCCTGTCCCTCCCCGCTTTCCCACCGCTGCTACCGCTCCCGTCGTTCCCCCCCGCCGCCGCCGCCTCGTCGCCGCTCTTGGCGTCCTCGCCGCCATCCGCGCCGTCGATCTCATTGGCAGTCGGATCCTCCGCTTCCGGTTCCATCTCCCTCGCTCTCTCTCGCTCGTTCGCTCGCAGTCGCGCACAGTGTGTTTCGGAGGAGTGTGTCGTGTTGGGGGTTCGTTGGAAAGTACCTATCTGAGTAACCGCAATCTATTTTGCTCTTCAAGGCAGCTTATAATCTATTCAATTCTAATTAAATTTTATTTTTAGGGCAAAGTCCTTTTATTTTTCTTTATTCACATTTTGGCCAACACACTATTCCTAATTTCTCTCCCGCCCCGTAATTTTCGAAATTATACTCCATAGAAGTGGATTCTCATTTCGTAATAATCGCTTCTCTCTTTTCCAACTATTAACTCCTTTTCTTTCTTCGGCCAGTCAAACAGGCTCCTCTTGGCTTCTTATCTTCAGATTGGGAAACTATTAGAGTATTTCCGATGTGTCAAGATTAGTTATCAAATTGAGTCATTTAATCTTGTGATGTAAATGACATTCTCGCATTAGATAGACCACTGAGAGATGTACTTCTTTTGTTGATAGGAGATTAGACTATATCAAGTTTTGCTAGCAAATTAAGAAGGAAACTCATGTGCAGATTAGTTAGCAAATTAGGTCATTCAATCTTGTAATGTAAATGACATTTCAGCATTAGATAGGCCACCAAGAGGTTTACTTCCTTGGTTGATAGGAAATTTGATTAGATCAAGTTTTGATAGCAAATTGGGAAAGAAACTCATGTGCGGATTGGTTAACAAATCGGGTCATTGATATAAATGACATTCTAGCATTAGATAAGCCATCGAGAGATTTATTTCCTTGGTTGATAGGAGATTCAAATGGATCAAGTTTTGCTAACATATTGGGAAGGTGACTCATGTGCAGATTGGTGAGTAAATTAGGTTATTCAATCTTGTGATGTAAATGACATTCTAGCATTAACTACCGAGAGATTTACTTCCTTTGTTGATAGGAGATTAGACCGAATCAAGTTTTGCTAGCAAATTGGGAAGGAAACTCATGTGTAGTTGGTTAGCAAATTAGGTCATTCAATCTTGTGATGTAAATGGCATTCTAGCATTAGAGAGCCCCGAGAGATTTACTTCCTATGTTGAAAGGAGATTAGACTAGAAGTTTTGCTAGGAGTGTAATAGTGTAACAGCGGGCTTTGCCCGAAAAAAAAAGATGTAGAATCTACAAATTCAAGTAATTATTGTTTTCAACAAAAAAAAAGTAATTATCACTGATTTCATCACTCCTTTTATTTGCATGATCTAAGCAAATTTCTGATATATATATCTTGTTTTGATTCATAATTTAAACAAATTTATATACGAAACAAATTAGACCATTTCATAAACTTTTTGGTCACATTTATGTGATATTTTGCTTGTGCAGAAATTCTACTCAATCATTAAAGCTATGTCGTATAATTATTTTGGTTTTTGTCTAGTTTCGACTGTATAGAAAACATATAAGACATTGCCCTGTGCACAACAATATATGCGGATTACGAAATAGGAAAGGGTGGGGCGGTTTCCATCCCGTATAGGGGTGGAAATAGCTCTGCGCGATGGGAAAATTATATTATACCTATCTTTTAAGGGAAGAATACAACTAAGAATTTTGTTACGTGCATCTAGAAATATTCCTCTAAGCCTAGATCCCTTATTGTCTAAATCATAAAGAAAGAAACAAGATCAGTATACTCTCAATCGTACATTTAATGTCTTTGTGTTTGAAGTTGTTTCTGGTTATTAATCCTCCCTTGATCATCAAGACTCGTTTGGTCAAGAAAAAATCGAGATGATAGAAATAAAATAACCAGAAATCGACAAAAAAAAATTAGGGATTAGAAAAGTAATTAATCTCTAAGTTGTGTTATTTTCTAATACCTTTTAGAATTGGATATATGACTTCGAATTTTACACAATAAATTGAACAAATAACCTCATATAACGTGCTTACCGTACTAGAGTATTAATTTTATCGATATGTTTCTAGGTTTAACATTTTTGTTTCTTGTTCATTCATTCTCATTACAAATAACAAGTTAATCCTGGAGTGGTCTGTGCACTAATTTAATATAAAAAAAGAAGAAGAAGACGTCCAAGAGTGGTAAAAATGAAAATATGCAAAATTGGCATGGAAGGGCCCCAATGCTGAGAATTTGAAGCCCATAAGGCCTGGTTGAATAGGCCGATGCTCTACTCAATGAATGAAGGAGTTTAGAACTTGATTTCTTGGGCCATGAATGACTCTCTCTCTCTCTACCTTTTATTTTTGTAACTTGACTATGGGTATATAAAACTTTTCAAAAACTCGATTATTTCTCGAACCTTACTCGTCTAGTGTAAACTTGATCATCGGCCTAAGTGGCTAACCGGCCCACCCGAGCCATATGAATCCAGGGAGCTTTTTTTCCGAGCGGGCCTGGACAAGGTTAGTCAATCACAAAGCGAAAATTATCAAAATAGTCCTAAACATATTGCAATTGTGCTAATTCAGTTCTAAACCTTTATTTTTGCCAATTCAGTTATAAACTTTTTGTATTTGTCTCAATTCAGTCCATCCGACCAATTTTAGCCAACAAGCACTGATTTGGCATGGCCAGTACTAAGGTTGACAATTTTTAATAATGTTTCAATATATTTTGAATTATTTATTTATTTTTTTCCTCTTTTTTTTTTCTCTCCTTTTTTTTCCCTTCTTCCTCTAGCCAGCGAGGGCGAGCCTCGCCGTCGTCATTGTCCTCGACCTCGACCATACCCTCACCGTCGCAAGTGAGGGCGAAGCAAGCCTCGCCGTCGCTAGGAGCCTCGCCGTCGCCATGGTGAGGCTCAACTTCACCCAGATCTAATAAGGGGCGGGCAAGGCTCGCCCACGCGTATTATTAAAAATTGTTCACATCAGCATCGATCGCGCAACGTAGGACAATCAGAGTTCACGTCAGTGATTTTCAATCAAAATTAACAAGATGGACTGAATTGACATAAATGCAAAAGATTTAAAACTCAATTGGCAAAAAAAAAAGGTTTAAGACTGAATTGTCACAATTACAATAAGTTTATGACTATTTTGGTCATTCTCCCGATTTTATACATAAAGATCTTGTTACGAGAGGTCCTAGACCTATGCATGACCTAAGAGCTCGATATGTCTCGAAACTGTCTTGTGATCACCTCTATTTTGAGTATATTGGATAATTATCAAAATACATAAATCGTGCTTCGGGAGATGACCTCAAAAGAAAGATAATGGACTATCATAACCAAACTTTGAATGACAAATAAACGTACCACTTTAGCAACCCTCATCGATTCACTTTGCTATTGGTCATTTAAGTTTCGCTCCAAGAGATCTTCCAATCTCCTGGTCCTAGAACTATAGTTTCCTTATCAGAAATCCGAGAAAAGACTTATGCACACAAAATTACTACTTATCTATGGGAGTTTTCACCGTTGGCTACACGTTATGCACCTCGTCTGATTACAAATTAAAACATTCTTAAAAAAGACACGCGATTTCAAGGCTACCTAATTTTTCGTAGGAAAGTCCTGTGTTTTGTTTCCGGAGACCCCTTTGGCAATGTCAACAAGCATTAATTTGTCATCGATGATCCAATGCCAATACATCTTCGATTTCGCCCCCTCTCACATCATTGCATCTTTTCCTTTACCCTTGTTCCAAACGAATCAGTCAAAAAGTGACTTTTTGGGTAGAAGATTGAAAAATCGGCCTCATGTATTCTTTACTTAAAAAAAAAATACCTATATTAGTTTAAATGTTGATAAACAAACTTTAGCACGCTAAGTATCCACCTACTGCACTTTGATTAGACTAATTTAGCGCGTGTTGATTCGCAACATCCTCTAAAGTCCTCCCTATATTCCCAAGTCTTCTGTTCCTCCTCCTGTTTTGGAAGTCACCAAACCCATCACCCACAGAACGAGTTGCCGTGCGTACAGAGGAAAACGCCATTGAAAGGAAAGACGGGATTGAAAAGTACAAGCACGAGTAGACATGTGAGAATGGGTCATAAACCTATTCCCTAACTTTTATATGATGAGATTTGACGCAAAAAAAAACTCATATACGATAAGCCGAGTTATTATATGATTAATTATATTCAGTAAATGAATCTTATATGAGTTTAAACATAATATAAGTGTTAAATGAATCATAAATAGGTCATAAATGGATTTGCAACTTACTTAGATCAAATCCACATCTATGACTCTCTTTTCATTCTCTCTCACTCTTACTCGATCTCGCCCTCACTTATTCTGCGCTTTTACTTCAGTTTGAGTATGAGTTTTCTTAAATTTGTTTAAATACGGAAGTGTTTTAGCAATATGGATTGGGATAAGTATGTGTCATATGTGTTGAGTCGGGTATAGATCATTAGATTTGCACTGCATGTAAATGGGTCAAAACGGGTTAAATAAATCTATTTGGATCGGACCATTTTCAACCTGACTCCATCCGTTTGGCAGGTCTAGGCACGCGACAACTGGAGTTGCCTCTCTCTCTCTCTCTCTATTCGTTAGGAGGCTATATAGACACCACTTGTTCATGTTTCATGATTTTTTGACTGGTTCCACTGACTAGAAAATATCAAATTCTAATATCTTAACATTATACCAAAAAGGAAGATCAAATCTTGATGTGCTCCGCATCAAATTGGCCGACGTAGAGCCACGGTTCATCCGGCCATTGTTGGATAGTTGACATGTAGAGAATTTGGCTATATAACGATTCCAACTACACGACACCCATCTAACAGTGGGAATGCAAGTTGTTCTTTCAATGAGATATTGAACCTAATGATAGTCCAAAGCTTTTATTTGCAATGGAATTGCTTCGTTCGGTGTCTGACCGGGTGATTTTTTGAGCTAACTAAATTTCGTTTTCAAACTAACTCCGCCTCTTTAATCCCATCAACTCGACGGGCCGTCCACACCGGCTCCGAAACTCATAAAGAACTACTCTATCACGACTCTCTTCCTAAGACATTGCACTCGAGCGGGGAATGGAAAATCGGCTACCTCATACTTCTCGGGGCGTAAAATTCAATCGTTTGATCACTCTTTTTTGACTCGAGAGCTAGTGCATATTATGTAATTTTAGAAAGCAGAAGGAAATGCATGATTGTACATTCCTCACGTCGATTCCCGATGCACATAGCAAATGTTTGCACGTTTTCGGGAGTGTCGTTTTCAAGAATTTGTTTTGTAGGCGGTTCGTTATTTGTTGGTGAACCTATATTTCGATAGGCCCCCGCAAAGGACAAAGTATAAGATCCGCATTTCTAATCTTATCGTACTTTAGCTCATCAGCTTATCGGTCGTTAAAGCTAACTCACGAGAAGATAGGTTGGTCTAAAACTCAATGTTTTCTTGGGGCATTTCTTGAAAATGAAAACCGTTATGGTTTGGTAAACTATATTAGCAACAGAAAATATTTTATTATATGTAGTAGATAATTCGCAGTAAGAGCTACTATTTTGGGGTGCTACGGAACATTTTATTTTCGATTTCCCAATTTCCTATCAATCACAATGTTGGTTAGCTAAGGGGTTTATATAGTTTGTAGTTCTCCACAATAGTGTGGAGGTATTTCAAGTGCTTTTTGAGAATCGAGAGCATCGGTTCTTTTCTTTGCGTATAGAGGGAACAAGTAGAATATACAAGGTACCGAATTTAAATAATACTCGAATTTTCCTCGGGTAATATGTCATATCCGAAATTAGGGTTCACATTTGTTGATGTTTTTCCATATATAGATTTCCAAATCCATCAGAAAAATTACCAAAAAAGTTTAAAACCTATTGCAATTGTACCAATTCAGTCATAAACCTTTTTTTGGCTAATTGAGTCCTAAACCTTTTGCATTTGTGACAATTTAGTCCATCCGGTCAATTTGGGCCGGAAATCACTGACATGAACGCTAACTGTCCTATGTGGCGCAGTCGGCGTTGACGTGGATAATTTTAAATAATATTTTAATTATTTTTTTGAAATTATTTTATTTATTCTTTATTTTTTCCTTTTCTTTCTTCCCTTCTTACTCTGGCCGATCGCCAACGAGGGCAAGCCTCACCATGGTTGGGCGACCAGAGGAAGAAGGGAAGGGAAAAAAAGGAAAGAGAAAGAAAAGAAAAAAAAGAAAAAAATAAATAATTCGAAAAAATATTAAAATATTATTTAATATTGTTTACGTTAGTGCTGGTGCGCCACATAGGACGGCCGGCATCCATGTCAACGATTTCTGATCAAAATTGACCGAAAAAACTGAATTAAGACAAATATAAAAAGTTTAGGACTTAATTGACAAAAAAAAAATTTGGACTTGGTTAGGACTTTTTTGGTAATTCTCCCAAATGCACCATACGAAAGTCAAAAGGCTGAAGAAAACCCTAATTTCAGCTCTCTGAATTAGTAGGCTTGGTTCTAATGACTGACTTTTTGGGGCCCTATTGATGATTAAGTAAGATGAGAAAAATGGGTTCTAGTCACAATTCTCGGATTTGTCCTATTGTCATCCTTTTAGTTTTCATTTGAACGATGATCCTTTCACCGCGTGCGCAATCCTTGAAAGTCCCAAGAAAAAACCCAACCATACATACTCGGAAAAGAAAGATCTTGTCCGGCGTGGCTCTCTAGGTTCGACACGTGAGATGAGATATGATCACCAACTAATACAAATTAGGGTTTGTAGTTGCAAGTGTGAACGGCTTGACTCGTGGATCAATGTCATCCATCACACCATGCAAATGATCTCGATCAAAGCAAGTGGCCAAACCTCATCCATCTGCTGGAAAATGTTAATTTTTTAGTCCACCGCCACCTAATCCATAACGAATACTTCAACTCCAAAACGCCTCTCCTATTTCCCAAGACCTGCGAAAGAACGAAGCCATACTTAATTCGGAGAAGGAGATTGGTACAGCATTATCGGGCGCTTTGGACAACATTAACGAACTAAGGCAAACTAGTTTATCAAATCTAGCGTCAATGTTCTTTTTCGTTGACTTTAATATATCACCCAGAGTCACGAAATGTCCATATGGGTGCGCCACAAGAAACCTAAGCAAATATCAGATAAAACCCTTTTGTTTTCTTGGTTCCTTTTGACTTTATTTTGCTTTATTTTCTTGCAAGGGCTTTTGACATGCGACATATGGAATGATTCTATCATGGTATGGCTGGCATCGTTGGAAGTGAGATTTGATAGCAATGCAAGGTTCAAGAATATGTTTAAGTACCTCAGTTTTTTACTTTTATTTCTATTTTTGAACTTAGAAAAATGGAGGAGAGGACCGAAGGGAACGGAAGAGTCCAACTTTGAATTTTCACTGATCTCTAGAGGAAATGAAGTTCGCAGGAATTTGACTTGGCTAATTAGCTATGCACCCTCAGAGACACTAATAATTAATTTCTTGGATTCCATATGTTTCGTGGAAGATAAGCGAAAGTATCTTTGCTTAATTATGTCATTGATTCACTACAGTCCGCTTGGAAACACAAAAGCTTCAGCTTTGGCCAAAAGGGTAGCATTTTAGATGATAGTTGTTTAGAACTATGCTTGAATAAATAAGAAAGTAACTTCCATGGAGAAACCCTAATTCGATTTTGACCAAAATAAGCCAAAACAGGTGTTAAGTAGGCATGTGGTATTATCGTGGAGCCCGTTTAAGTTTCTTGCAAAGTTGTCTTTTGTCAATCTCCACATCCCGTGGTTCGACAACCCATTCCATAATTTAAGCCAAACTTAGGGTTATAAGGGCCTACTTCTACGCAGAAATTAGTGTTCGTATTTGGATTTCTCAAAGTGACATTGACCGTCCTTCACAAGATCTAGAAATTGCATTTATAATTTGGATAACATCTAAAAAGGGTTCGATGAAAATGCAACCCCCACGGCATAGAAAGGGAAAAATTCCACGTACACTAATGTTGGAGATCAAATCATTATCATCCGAAGGATGTTATATTGACGCTTTCAAAGGACTTCGCTTGCTTGACGGACCAACATTCTATGACTTTTGCTGCTTTTATTTCCTATATGTGTATTTTGGATGGCCAACTTGAAACTGTTAGGTAACGAAGCTTCGGCTAACTCTACCAACGCCAACCCAATAGACCGATCGTAAAGAACGACGATTATTGTATATCAATATCGTTTTCTCTTTTACGCAATGTCTTGGAAAGGGTTGCACATGTTCTCACTCTCCGCTCTGCATATATATATAGCTGCATGCATCTCGGGTTGAGGCATGCAGGGCAAGCAACACCAGCTCTTCTTCTGTGCAAGCTCTCTCTAGATCGACAGCACTTTCCAGCAGCAACAACAGAAAGGACAACCTTCCTTTCTTTGCTGTTTAGTCAGCTTCTTGTACCTTCGAATCGTTTTGTTCTTCTGCGATATGGCGCGTCCCGAGTTCTTGATTTTCTGGGCTTTAGCTCTCATGGCTTCGTTCTCCATGGCTTCGGCTGCGATCGTGGAGCACACGTTTCATGTAACGTGCATGCCTTCTGTTTTGTTAACCTTTTATCCCTCCTCATTATGCATGTTCCATATGTTTCATTCTTCGGGTAGATTACTTTGGTCATAAGAGTTTAACGAAATATTCACCAAAATTTTCAGGTGCAAAATCTAACGGTGAACCGGTTGTGCCAACGGCGAGTGATCACGGCGGTCAACGGAACCCTTCCGGGTCCGGCCATACACGTCCGGGAGGGCGACACGCTTGTGGTCCACGTCTTCAACAAGTCACCTTACAACCTCACTATTCACTGGTAAAAATTTCTTCCAAAGAAGCTCCGGTTATCGAACCTTAATAATAATGATTAATTCCCATTATTACTCCAATTGGTTTGACTTTGATCAACGATATGCACATCAACATTTTCTAATAACCTTGATTTTTCCAGCCTTCCCATTGTTAGTCAAAATTACTCTCGAAGTTTTCCTATGTAAAGTACACATCTGTTAATTTCCACCGAGTCATTTGGATGTATTCCTTTTTTCAAACAATGATGGAGGAAAAAAATGGCATCTTGAGTTGATCATTAATACATAAAATTGACATACATGCAGGCATGGAGTGTTTCAGCTCCTGAGCGGTTGGGCGGACGGTCCCGAATATATCACGCAGTGCCCGATCCGACCCGGAAGCAGTTATACCTACAAATTCACCATCACCGGACAAGAGGGAACTCTTTGGTGGCACGCTCATGTCCAGTGGCTCCGTGCGACGGTTCACGGAGCGCTCATAATCCACCCCCGATTGGGTAACAAGTACCCGTTCCCAAAGCCCCACCGAGAAATTCCCATTTTACTTGGTATGGTACCAGCTCCTATTTCTTAACAGTTGCGCGAAAACTAATGACCTCGTCTAAGAAAAAAAATTGACACTCGATGCAACTGCAGGAGAGTGGTGGAATGCCAACGTCATCGACGTGGAAAACCAAGGGTTGGCAACCGGTGCCGCCCCGAACAACTCCGATGCCTATACCATCAACGGGAGGCCCGGAGATCTCTATAATTGCTCTCAAAATCGTAAGCTATTATATTAATTCGTGTGCATTTCCAAAATTTAGGTTGTATATATTTTAACCTATGTTTTGTTACGTGAATTAATGATGCAACTTTCAGCCAAGTTCACGTACACGTACAAGGTGGAGCAAGGGAAGACCTATCTGCTGCGCATCATCAACGCTGCCCTCAATAACCAGCTATTCTTCAAGGTAGCCGGCCACAAGATGACGGTCGTCGCGGTCGACGCCACGTACACCAACCCCTACGTGACGGACGTCGTCCTCGTCGCCCCAGGCCAGACCACCGACGTCCTCCTCACCACCGACCAGGCCCCCGGGGCCTACTACATGGCGGCCAGGCCGTACGCCAGCGCCCCCAATGTGCCGTTCGACAACACGACCACTCGGGGCATCTTCATTTACGAGAATGCCCCTTCCAGGGCCGTTTCCGCCCCGAGGATGCCGACCCTCCCGGCCTTCAACGACACCCCCACAGCCCACAAGTTCAACAGCAACCTGACCGGGCTGATCAGCGGGCCACACTGGACCCCGGTGCCGCTACAGGTCGACGAGCACATGCTCGTGACCGTGGGGCTGGGCCTGGCGCCGTGCGGGGCGCCCGGGAACAACTCCTGCGGCGGGCCCCAAGGGCAGAGGCTCTCGGCCAGCATGAACAACGCCTCTTTCCAGTTCCCCACGACGCTCTCCATCCTGCAAGCGTTCTTCTTCAACGTCCGAGGAATCTACACCACCGATTTCCCCAACAAGCCGCCGGTGGCGTTCGATTACACGAACCAAAACAACAGCATGAACCTAGCCCTCATATTCGCGCCCAAGAAGACGAGCGTCAAGAAATTGAAGTACAACGCCACGGTCGAGATGATACTGCAAGACACGTCGTTGGTAGCCGTCGAGAACCACCCCATGCACCTCCACGGGTACAATTTCCACGTGTTGGCTCAGGGTTTCGGCAATTTCAACCCAAAGACCGACCGGAAGAAGTTCAACCTCGTGAACCCGCAGATGCGGAACACGATCGGCGTCCCCGTCGGAGGGTGGGCCGCCATCCGGTTCCAAGCTAATAATCCAGGTGAGTTTCACGCCTCGCACCTCTTTAAATTATGGTCTTGTGCGATTTTATTTAACAAACTATAATCATAACAGCCAATTTAATTGATTGAATGATTAATTGTAGCTTGTTTCTGTATGGTATGTATATATTATAATAGGCGCCTGGATCATGCATTGCCATCTGGACGTCCACTTGCCGTTGGGCCTGGCCACGGCATTCCTCGTCGAGGATGGGCCAACTCCGTCGTCCACGCTGCCCCCGCCACCTAGCGACCTGCCAACATGCTGACACTTCTCGAATTATATTCTTGTTTGATTTGACTTTATATGTATTTTTGCCGCAAGAATTATTGCTTTTCACTATTCTGTTTGTTTGGGTCTCTAATTCTTTTGCCATTCCTTCCAAGGCAAGAAAGAGTTTGTAATAAGGACAGAGTTCCTAGTTGCTATACCTTTCATTCCCTTCAAAAATGTCGTTCTTGTATCAAGTGATCGAGGATCACATTCTTTGGCTTGTAATCCAATGAAATGGTAGATTTGCTTTGTTTGATTTAATTCGAGATTCTGAAATGCTGGAGTCTCTCGAAAATATTATCGGTGGACCCTGTCAAATCCCGTGCTCGTCGATAACAGAAATTACAAAAAAATAACGATTCTAAGAGCAAGCTACTTCGATTAGACTTCATGGCAACAAGTGAGAAGCTACCCTAATTCATGGAGGACGATATTAGGGATAATGACATGAGGTAATTTTTCTTTTGGGTGGTAAACTAAGTCGAAGATAATCGTCGATGGTCGATGGGATAGAAGTGGGCCATGGAAGGCAAGATTAGGTGGTCTTCCTATTCTAGAAGCGAAGCGATGGAGGCGAATAACCTCGATTCTTGTTTGCTGCAACGTGCAGTCTAAATTCCACGTGGCAAAGATTAGTTAGGAGGAAATTGAACGGAAATAACATTTTCTATATGTACTGGGTCGGTTGTGGACTTCTTGTTATTGTGACTGTGTTTTTTTTAAGGAATATTTTACGTGATGGATGATTAAATTATTGTATTGCAGGTTTCTTTTAATATTTTATCATAACAGGTTTTTGGTTTGTCATTACACTGTTATAGGTTTTTACCTTTTTTTCAAGGTTTTTGATATATGATTCATGTCATGTTTACACGATAGGTTTTCGATATATGTTTTATTACATGAGAATGCAAAAAGAAAAAAGAAAAAAAAAAGAGGAAGAAAAATTTCCATTTCCGGGTCTGGCCCGGTCTTCTTCGGTCCGGGCCGAGCCTCGGGCCGGATTCCTCCAGGCCCGGAAAATTCGGGCCAGGCCCAAAAGGGAAAAATCCCGCCCCGCCCGGCCCATGCTCCGCCCTAGATTCTAGTGCTACCGGTGAAGTTAGTCATGACAAGAAACTGGCATTGGATGTGGAAACTGCCTCCGCCCTAGATTCTAGACCTCAATTCTTTGCTATGGCAGCTCCTTCGTGACAGTATTGCTACTAGAGATGGACTCAATAGGAGAGGCATTGACATTGGATAATAGGTTGCTTCTTTGTAATGAGCCCAATGAGACTGTTGCGCACCTTCCTAACAATTGTCAAAAGAGGCAGATTCGTTTGGAAAAGTCTCAAGTGTCCTGACTCCTACGTGTTCCTCTCACCAGGAGCTTTTCTTCCCTTGGGATTAGATTAGGGAAAACACTAGAGAAATCTGGACTGTTTGGTTAGGAACGAATACGAAGGTTTCCAAGCAGAGGCCAGACCTTATATGTCTCCAACAACTGTGTCTGGAAAAAGCTGCTGAACAGACCAAAATCATTTAGCACGGGGTCTTGAACCGAAGTTGGATTGGAAAGGCCTATGAGTCGCTGGGCACAAGCTAAATACTGATGTTCCATTTCCTATTGTAAGAAGAACAGCAGGTGGTGGATGATGTGAGAACATCTAATTCTACAGAACAGTCCTCGAGTTTCAACCGCATTCCATCGACTAATCCAGCACAATCAATGTTTATTCAAGACAAGGCAGATTTTGATCACAACTTGCTTCGATGGGTCAAGAATGAAGTTATCGACGTAATGGCTATTGACAAAGTTATTGATGGAGGAATTGTCAGATCTTCTTTGCCGATCAGGTATTAACTTACCGATTGACCATATTAGTAGCCAATTTCAAGGACATGTCAATAGGAGGCTATTCTAAGCAATTTCCTTGAATATTTGTTGATTTCTCTAGACAAATATTTTCTGGTCAAGGCTGGTGAACGAATTTAAAGTCCTAGTTTTGTAAGTATTAAGTGAATATTAGGTTTCAAGAGTCATAGTTCTAGTTTTCATGCGTTTTAATGCATTTTCTAGTTCCTATGTCTTAAATGTTTGGGTAGTTTTCATGTCTTTAATGCTCAATCTATTTCCTATACATTAGTTCTTCTATAAATAGCAGAGAGTTCTCAAATGTAATGAATCTATGAGAATTCCTCTATTTGAGTGAATTATTATCAGATTCTTTATCCAATGTCATTGGTGGTGAACCAAATAGTTCTTTATCCTTGGCCGGTGGAGCAATCATTTACGCCTTAGTGGTGAGCAGCCATTATTCCGGTTCTTTATCCTCGGCTAGCGGCTTGTGCTTTTATGCTTTGATGGTGAACCTTCCTTGATTCAACCCATCACAACACACCCGACCATAAACAAAACCCAGAAAATGCCCATTTCCGGAATCACTCTTCTCACGCACGCATAGGTAGAGGTATTATCATATCAGGGATTGTCAAGGACACTCCTCAACCACTTGGGTTCGACCGACATCAAAGCACACATACAGGGAAGCCAACAGGGTAGCGGATTTTCTCGCAGAGCAAGCAAGGACAGACAGATGCAAACGGTGTCACCCTTTGGAGCCCCAACAAGACCTGGATGGCGTTCTCTCAAGACAGATTTGTCCCTGTGCCAATGGAGTCCCCACCTGATATCTTCCAGTCGAGCTTTGTCCGAGCTAGCCCTGTCGACTAACCCATGGAACATGAGTCATACCTTAGACATGCCTCTCAGTACTGTATTTTGCTGTTTGTTTTGTGTTGCTGTTGATGCTTAGTTTCGGGTATCCTCCTATGGTGTCGTAAACTTTCTAGTTTTTGGCTTAATGAAGATCTGATCTTTCTTGTCCAAACACCTTGAGGAGGTCGGCAAAGCCAATCTGTCAGTTTATCTCTGTTAGATTTTGGTGTTGATGTGCATGTGTGCGGGCTTTTCGGCAAAGGAGCAACAATGGCACGAGGTAAAAGCATTCTTACCAGATAATTCGAGAAAACGCCATTTTCTTGAAAGAATGCCATTCCCAGTCTCTAAAGATCACAACCAGAATGGTGTTTAATTCAAGAAAAGGCCCACAAGTCAGCCATTGTAGGGCACGCATTGCATGCAAGAACCATGCTCTGTTATCCACGATAAATTTCGTGTAAATGCTCGCGCGCTCAAGATCCGAAATGGACCGGATCGCTAAAGAATCAAATCACAGAGAAAGAGCTCAAAAAAATTATGATGCCTCGAATCTTATTCTGAATTAGAAAAATTGGAGCAAATCCCAAAAGCACTCCACAGTTACGGGGTATAGTACATAGCCCATTCCTTTTTGCCTATATGTGTGTGTGTGTGTGTGTGTGTGTGTGTGTGTGTCTTGGGTTCATTATTATTCCTCCTTCAACATGTAATCACCAGAGCCAAACCCACAATAATTCAAAAACACGCGTGAAAAATTTGTATGTCTCTCTCGTCAGTCATCACAGGGAATCAGGAGATGGGGCCATGGCGAAGAGCGTGGACGACTCAGCCGACGCGGGGCCGGGGGCAGCTCCGGAGCTCAAGAACTCAATCATGGTGCGGTGAGGGTTCGCGCGTTGCGCCTCGCAGAGATCCGGCAAGTACACCCCTGCAAGAGTTTATGCAAGCAAAGCCACAATCAGATGAACGTCTGATACAGGCGTATCTGATATAATTTGTCGTAACAATGATCATGTCGTAAACTTGACCGTGGGATTTGACATCTTCTTCAACTCAGGAGGTGAATCGTCGTGTTCAAACGATTGATGACGCTGCTGTCTTAAGGTAGATTGAAGATGACAATTCATCTTTCAAATTTAGAAATTGAAAGAACTCTAAATCTTTAATATTTTCACAAGTCTATCCAAAATACGACAACTCTTTTCCAAGCGAGATAGAAGGAAAAATCCCTTTGAGTAGAGAAGAAGTAAAGCATATAACACATCAAAGGTGACGCTGATCAATCAGACCTAATATTTCCTTCAAGCAAGAAATGTCGCTAGAATTCATGAAGCTCCTAAAAGTCTATATATGCAAATTGAATCCGAACATATATATAGTCTGTTACCTTCTCCGGCAGCCAAATTGAAGTAGAGGTCAACGATGTTGGGGCAGTTCTGGAAGCACTGGGGAGCGCAGAGCCTGGAGGTGAATCGCCGGTCGAGGAGGGCGTCGGACGAGATCCCGACCGATCGCCGGTCGACCCCGCATGCCCGGACGCACTCGTCAGTCTCGACGTACCCGGCCATCCTCTCCACAACCACCTCGGACGTCCTGCATTGGTACTCCACCTCGCCGTCCCCGGACGCGAAGGTCTCCAGCAAGCACCGCTTCCCGGAGGACGCGATGGCGAACGCGCACATGTCGTTCGGTATCTCCTCGCATATAATCTCAGCTACACACCAAGGAAAAACGCACGATGGAGATCACTAAGAAATGCCAACCACTAGGAAGGAAGAAACGACAGACATAGATGCATGGATCGAGATGATACCTAGAGCTGCATGGAGGAGGAGAGAGGAGACAAAGAGGAGGAGAGGCAACTTGGTAGGGACAGCCATGGATGGAGCTTTCCTGGTTTCTCTGTTTGAGATCGAAATGAATCGACGAATATATTTAGTGTGTTGATTTCTGTTGCTCTTGTTCTTTTCTTGGCGGGTGTTGGAGATTGAGAGAGAGAGAGAGAGTGAGAGATGACCCTACGAAGTAATCGATGGTTCGATGCTGACTATATATAGAGGGGGGGACTTCGATTGCTTGCCGGCTCGAGGTTCTTTTCGTGCGTTCGTTGTCTCCATCGATCGGAATGCGTCAGAGCCACTAACCCCTTTTTCCTTTTGTATTTTCTAATGATTTTCCGGCGGGATTTCCCAAACATGGTAATATATTTCTCGGAATATTTCAGCGTATTTACCGGTGTCTGCTGTTCTTGTCGGAGAGGATTGGATACGTGCTCGCTAGTTTCTTCTTGTCGACGTGCCTCGGTGTTTGGTTTTGAAGTATTCAACTTCACCTAAAAGGCTAAAACCCTCTCTCTCTCTCTCTCGATCCTTCCCTACGCTCTATATGGTTTGATTTGAATAAGAAATGTGTCTTTCGTGGCTTCAGTGTTGTGGCGATATGCGGATTTAGTGGTAGCCCATTAGAGAGCGGGGATCCAATTTTTTCTTCAATTAGGTCGGCGGTAATCTTTGTCATCGTCTACTTATTCATCGTACTATCGTTTTTCTTTTCGATAAATCTAATCGTGGATCTCAAGATCCAATGACCCTGCTCGGATTCCCCGGCTCGAAGCACATCTTGGCCAGGTCCAAGCAAGAGCGACAAATACTCGGGGGGGCTCGAGCTCACCAGCTCTGGGCCCGGTCAATCCGACCATACCCCGATAATCCATATCACGAGCAGGTTTGGATAAGGACTTTGAGGGCGCGGCACACCCACTGGTCAGGTCTGGTCTGGTCTAAACAATGACCATTCAGGAATCTCGATTTTGTTTTCACGTGCCGGGAGGGAACAGTTGGTAGCTCACGGTAGCTTATCAGCATGGTAATTGATTAGAATTGATATTACGTTCATTTTATTACCTTAAATAGTCATCCAACAAAGCCTATTAATAGGCTCATATACTTTTTATCAAGGTACATTGAGATGTACACAAAATTTCATATTTCTCTTTTTCGCGTATTATTTTCTTAACTATGGTTTCGACCGGATTTACAGAACACGCCAAGTACTTTGCCCATCTATGTGAACTTCCTAAGGAAAAATCCCCCCCCAAAAAAAACATGGAAACGCCAAATGTTTAGACGTAGCGTAGGTTGTAACGGTCAAGCAATTTTAACAAAGGACAGCGATAAGATTCCTATTTTCAATTCCAGAAATTCCTGAGATCCGTCCAATATTTCATTTCCGCCTAAATTTCCAGGCAATGACGTGCGCACGGGCGCGTGGGGAGTTGGCGGGTCAACTCAGTACCGATTACCGAGTCACGGTTGCGCCCGCGGGTCGGTTACCTAGCGAACGTCGATGGATGGCTTGCGGACGAAAAGTGCGTCTACCCGATCAAATCAAAATATTCTTTATGTTAAAATCAATGCCACCCGTATTAAAACCTTATTCACAGAAATTAATTTACCGGATAAAGCCGGACGATTTTATTGACTCTAAAAGGATATATCGATTAATTAAATATTTACTCGTCGTCCGTCACATCACTCTAAATCTTAATTTAGGTTACATTTGTTTTGAGGAAAATTAATTAATAAATAATTATGTTTATCATCCATGATATTTTTATACCTAATATTGTTCGGTTTCTTTTAAGCGAGGAAGTCCGCCTATTCGATAAATTGGAGACGCCGGAGTTTTTGACAAGAAACTCGTCTTAACGAATATTTCTTGTGGTACGATTGATTCCGTCAAATTGCTTCTCCTGTTTTTTGCATCTAAGAATAGGGTACCCGACCCTTAACACAATTTACTTCCCTATTTGCACAAACTATTTCATTCATGTTTCCGATAAGGCACTAGCCCGACGAGTACGGCTTTGTTAATTACTTTGAGAACGAAACATTCAACTACGAAATCCACCGCTTCTGAGCTAAGCTCGATCGCCACGTTTCATCATTTCCTACAAAATTGACTAGCGTATAGCTAATGCCTTTTTTTTCCCCCCAAAATCTCCAAAGCGGGCGTAGTTGGCCGGAGCACCGGGGGATTTTCAGCTCGGAAGTCGAAGGTCGCTCGTCCAAATCTCATCGGTTACGGTTACGTGCAAACTGCTCCGTGGAGGGGCCCGCCCGCGTAAACCAAGAGCTCGGATCCGACCCGTTCCCGAGAGGTTTGGTGGATGTTTCGCGGGGCTGTTGGTCAATTCAACGCGCCGGAAAGGGCGAGGAGGCAGTGACATCCTTGGGAAGGCGAAGTACCATCGACGAAAATAATACAAAGAAGAAGAAGAAGAAGCAGCAGATCCAAATCGTTTTCAGTGTTTGTTGAGAGGCTTTGAACCTTCTCAGGCCAACCACTCTCTGTCAAATTCTTCCGTTTAACTTGTGGAGAGATCCGGTCTTTTGGTTACGAGAGGTGGTAGATCTCGACCGAGTCAATAAGAAGTGGTCCGAGCACTTGAATAAGACAAATTACTAGGGTCCAGCCTGCCTCGGTAAAGTTAAAGAGATACGTACAAAAATAGATTGAGAGTTATTTCAGCAAAAGGAAAATGACGGTTGTCGCGACGTCCCCGAACTGGGATTGCGTTAAATAAAAATAGGTGTCAACACCAGTTTACATAATTTCTCATTTAAATTGAATAATGCCGAGGTTTAAATGTGTGATTTCCTTCTAGAAATCCACGCGAAGAGAACATCATGAAATGAAGGTCGAACGAGTATGCGACCTCTCAACTCTTGAATTTGAGATTGCGAATTTGATGGAACATGAGTGTTCGTCGGATGGCATCGACCAGTCGGGGTTGCTCAACATGGATCCGATCGAATCGGCTCGAAACCATATCTCTAATTTATCAATTTGGTTTCGGGACGGATGAATTCTTTTTGTTCATCGGGCAATTCGATTGGGGTTTCGGTTCGGTTCGGTTTATCAACGGGACACGACATCCAGAGCGAGGATGGGGAAGTGGCCCGATGCTCGTGGCCATGGGAGTCACTCTTTTGACGTGAGACCAAGGTTGTTGGACTTCAGATGGGCTTAAAGCCCATCGATCCATCAAGTTCCTATTCCTAACCCCCGAGAATCAGCAATGCTATCAAGCAAAGAGTGAGATCCGGTCCATTTGCGCCGCAGATCGTATGAGACCCACGTGAGTCCCCCAAAACCAAACCTCCCGAATGATGGCCAGCTTAGGAAATCTCCGTGCACGGCCATCATCAGGCAATCGCAACGATACGCCCGTTTGAGCGATAGCTACTTGATCGGTCAAGGTTATAATAATTCAAGATATGGGCGAGCCCACACGAACATTTTATACATCATCGTAATTGAAATCACGTTTAAGGGGCCAATCGCAGAGATGTATCGACTTGTTTCCCAAGAGGCCTCGATCAACTAATTCAATCGATGCCACGGTAACTTTTTCCCCGTTGTAGCAAAATCAGGCCCTTCAACAGTGGCATCAAGTCGTAATCTACAATTCCAAACGGTTAAGGCTCCAAATATCGACTTTCAATTAAAATCGCATCGTAAGTAATAGTTTAAATTGAATTTTAAGATCTAGCTCATAAGTACAAGCGCAAAAAGAATCACTTAATCACGTCACGCCTACTCGGTGCGATTTAGAAGCTGTTTATTGCGTTTTTATGATTTTTCTTCTCGAAATTTTAAAAATGAAAGAAGTAGTTTAAATGTCGGAAAATCAATAGAATATTATTTTATTTTATATTTTAATATCTACATATTGTAAAATGTCGTAGATGATTTTCGTTGAATGAAGAGTTAATACCACGAAAAATCCAAACTAGTACACATATGACAAATTTACTCCGAACAAATTTTTTGACCACAAAAAATTTCAAACTGGCACACCAGTGACAAATATACCATTTATTAGTTTTCGTTAAATTTTATTATCGAATTACTGAGTTGGGTGGCCCGTGACAGTTAACAGGCGTACCGGTTTAGAGTTTTACCCCTTCGTTTGTCACAGGTTTATCAATTTATAATTTTTCGTGGTATGAATTCAAATTAACCGAGTAAATTTGTCATAAGTGTAGCAATTTGGGGTTTTTGGTGATCAAAAAATTTAATTTGGAATAAATTTATGATGGATATATCAATTTGAGATTTTTTGTGATATTAATCCAAAAGCCAAGTAGAAAGGCGCAAAATAAATAGAAAATGATAGTTTTTTGCAAAATTATATGTACTTTAAATAGCGTCGCTCGCTTGAATCGAATCTCCTTGTTCCCTCCGGTGGGAAACAGGAAAAAAAAAAATTCCCGAAAATCAACGGAAATTCACATCCTATCCGCAGAAGAAGAAAATGGAGCAAGGACTTATCCAGTGGAGTCCTTGCCCCCACCGCCACCGCCTCCGCCCCTCTCTCTCCTCCTCCTCCTCCTTCCTCCTCCTCCGCTCGCCAATCCACAGACCCAGGGTCGCCGGACGGCCCTCGCCCCCCCCTCATCCGCCGGCGGCGATCTCCGCGGCTCTCGAGTCCGCCGGCGCCGAGGCCCTGACGGCTAGGGAGCGGAGGCAGCTCAGGAACCAGAGGAGGGAGAGCCGGGGGGCCTATAACTGGCGGGAGGAAGTGGAGGAGCGGCTCATCGAGAAGCCCAAGAAGCAGTTCGCCTCCTGGACCGAGGAGCTCAACCTCGATTACCTCGCCAAGCCGGGGCCTCAGTGGTGGATCGTCCGCGTCTCCCGCGTCCGGGGCCAGGAGACCGCCGATTTGATCGCTCGCTTGCTCATCAGGAACTTCCCCGACGTCGAGTTCAAGGTGAGTCTCTCGACCGATCGATTTTGGCCTCTGGATTCTCGTTAGAATTTGTGGTCTAGGGACGACGAGTCCGTGCTCGGTGCGTTCGCGGAGTTTCTGTTGAATTCTAGATGAATGTAGGGTAATCTCAATGTTTTGATACAAGCTGGTAGCTGAATCAAGTATCTGTATGTGTAACCAAGTATTGAATCGTTTGCGACCTGTGAGGAATTCTTCGAGCAGCGGATGATGATGAAAGAAATCATTTTGCTACACCTGGAGGAGTTCTCCTCCAACGTTTTCAGCATGTAGTTGGTCGAAATGCTGACACGGAGAGTTATGTATGGAATCTATTAAGAATCGTTGATCTAGTTTACTTTTGAGTTGAACTTGCAGGCTTAATCTAAGATTTGACTCAATAACTATCCTGCTTGGCATCAAGCGTTAGCCTTTTGAGATGTAGTGCGTATTTTGGTACTTGCTTAAGAAGATTTTTGCTTTGAGATCAGAGGCCTCATCGCTGAAGTGACGTGGATTTTGCTAATTGCTGAGGAAGAGTAGGAAATGTGTTATTCTTGGTGGGAAGCCCGACGGTTCAGGTTAGAACTGGGGGACATGAAACGTCGAAGGTGTGATAGATACGATTTCACGAGCTCACCCGCCCTCATCATGAGGAATAATCAATCTTAGTGACAATCCAGGACATGGAGTTACCTGCTTAGTTTCATGATGCATGGTCAATTTAGCGAGTCCTGCTCCTTTTAGAATCTTTGTCGTAATGGTATGTATCTATAACATTCGGTATGCTTCATGTTGAAGCTCTAACATCGCTTCCACATTGAAGCAACTTTACTCTCCCTCTCCAATGAAGTTGTCAAATCAAGAGATGCCGATCCATCATTTAATAATAGAGTGCCATTTCTGAATGTGTGGTTCATATTATCTTTGGGTGCTGTCTCTTTCTTGCCTGATCTTTGTCATCAGCTTGGATTGTGATTTAGATGAAGCCACCAGGGAACCATATCTACTCTTGTGTGCTCTCATATTTCTAGCTTGTAATTTCAGGTATATGCACCAGCTGTCCAAGAAAAGAGGAAACTAAAGAATGGTTCTTACTCCGTTAAAGCAAGGCCCCTCTTTCCAGGATGTGTTTTCTTAAGATGCATCTTAAACAAGGAGTTACATGACTTCATCAGAGAATGTGATGGAGTTGGAGGCTTCGTGGGATCAAAAGTTGGAAACACGTGAGTAATTGCGTTTCTGTTCTTTGCTTCTAAAACCTGTTCTCTGCTTTGTTAGAATTAGAGTATAGGTTATGGCTTAGTTGTAGCATGTCTGATTTCTTCATTTGGCTGTTCTGAAGACAAAACTTATATATGTATTTACTTAAGTATACTGTTAGCTGTAACTATGGTCCTTCAATTGTCTTAATGTTTAGTCCACTGTGCTCTGCAATCTACATGGATGTTTAATGTGAAAACCAGAAGCCAAATTTTTTCTTATCCTTTGAGATTCTCTCTAGCCACAATTTTCCTTACCCCTTGAGAATCTCTTAAGCCAAAAATACTTTTTACCCATCAAGGGATTACAATTCCCTGTCTGCATTAGAATCTTTTATTTTCATGTCCTGCCTTCCCGGGTATCCTGAAAAATCAAAACTCATCTTTCTCACAGAAGTTTTGACGCCCTTGGACTTGCTTTTAAATTACGTGCTTCTCTTTCTTAGCTACGGTGCTGGTTTTTTCATTCAGAAAAAGGCAGATAATCAAGCCTCGGCCAGTATCTGAGGATGACATGGAGGCTATCTTCAGAAAGGCAAAAGAAGAACAAGAGAAGACCGACCGAGCTTTTGAGGATGAGCTAGCGTCTGAAACCCTCAAGTCTGAAAAGCTTGATCTAGACCTACATTCAAGTGCGGATGATTCTTTGGAGTCTGCTATGAAGCCAAAGCGCCAGTCCCGAAAATCTTCCGGCACACTCGGTGGCTTATCTGCTAAAGAGAAATACAAGCTTCTTGTCCCGGGTTCCACTGTTAGAGTTCTATCAGGAACTTTTGCAGGCTTTGAAGGCAGCCTCAAGAAGTTGAATCGCAAGAATAAAAAGGTAACATGCCTCGACATATTGCAGGATTTTTGCCTAGATTAATCCAAAGACGTATGCCCATGCCTTCTGAAAAGGCTAACAGCAGTTCGTGCATCTGTTTGTCAAGAAGCAAGAAACATAACCAATGTAATCATCATTTGTAGGCGACTGTTGGATTTGCGCTATTTGGAAAAGAAAGCTTGGTAGATTTGGATGTGGATGAAATTGTACCTGAGGTGGCATAACCATGGAATCTCTTTGATGAATCCCTGCCACGTGGTAAGTTTGCGTTCTTGCGCATTTCATTCTTTGCGAGCTGTAATTGTGTCATAAGTCATATGTATCCCACGATATCATCACAGAACATGCACTTTTTCCATACTTGAAGGACATAGAAATGATCCATGGTCTCTTTTTAAAATCAATGCTTGTAAGCCAAGCCTGATAACAGAAATGAATGTTGGGTTGATTAAGTTTTCATTGACGTTCTTCAGGCAGGCTCCATGTGAGATGATGGCTATGTTCTAATCTCTCGACGATGAATTTGCAGGGTGATTGACCCAGAGGCATGCAGGCGCATAGGTCCATCATAGGCGTTGATCGGGTTGTTCCCCGTTGGTAGTGAATGAAAAAAATTTAGAGATCAAGTTCTACTCAATACCAGGTGAGAGAAATAGTGTCTGGTCATCATAATGACCCGTAGAAAATTCTATCCAGGAGATCATCGGGAGATCTGATTGAAGTTGGAGAAAGAATATGCTAGGCTGGGGTCTGTACGCTAACAAACCAGATTTAAGTGCTCGAGCTGGTCAATCTTCTATTCATTGCAATTCTTCCTGTTCATTTCGAATCAATTGTCTGTCTTATCGCAGAGGAAAAACAAGCGACTCCCACTAATAGCCCAACCACTTGGTCGATCCCCACCAAGATTCACAAACTATTGAATTTCGATCGGATCTTGTCGCATGCCATCTTGTCTGCATAACAAATCGGAGAGACCCCATATACTTACAAATCTTGTCTTATCATTGCTATAATATTTATATTCCTATAATAATCGCCACTGATGTGAATTATATTCTCCCAAACGCCGTTATTCAGTAAGACATGCTTACGTATCTGAGAAGATGAAGTCTTTGTATAGCCGTTGTGCGGTTGAGAGCATGAATATATTACTGATTAGTTTACCAGAACAATTAAGAAGTGAAGAAAAACCAACTAAAAAGAGATATCGGCCCTAAACATATTGAGAAATTTAATCCGTTTGCCACATGGTTTTCCACCTAAAGTCTTGCGAACAAAATATTAGACTTTTAAATTCAGAAAAATTATGAAGAATTCGTGTACGGCTCTATACGTCAATATTTATATGTCTTGAAAGATTTCAAGGGTTTCGCATTGAATGAAATTCGAACTGTGACAGTCGCAGCATTTGAAAAGAAGTGAACAAAATAAGGGCAAAACTCATTTCGACCGCTCTCAAATCGCGCACATAAAATTTGGACAAGAACGGATGCTTTTATACCATATACTTGACAAGGATGGTTGGCCTCTTTTTATCAGCTTGCTTCATAGGACTGGCTATCCAACATTACGTTGTTATGCTGGCAAAAAGAAAACATCATGTTCTTATGGCAAAGATTCAAAGAACAACGTTATATAACCATGAATAGTGATAACTGCTTTCATGACGTGGCCCTAGCTGATTCGCCGGACGTGTGGTCGAGGATAAAGCTGTTTTTAGATTACTTATCATGACAACCTTTATTGAGCGATGGCCTTGAAACAATAAAATCAATATTTACTTGGCCATGAAAAATTAAGAAAAAAAAATAAAGAGTGAACTGATGCGAAACGAATGAAGTAAAATGGCACAAATAGTGGATTTTGATGCTGAGAACGGGTTCATACGATCGCTTAGGTATAGATACTAATAAGCTTCACGATGCGTATTTATGACCTTCCTAGCTCCTTTCGAATCAAAAGCTATGAACCGAAATAAGATGCGCGAATTTTCGTTATGGTCACACCAATCGGATTTTTCTTACTTATTTGATCACTCTATAAACTCTTTAAAAGTCCATTTTACGGGGAAAAAAAAAACCAATTGACCTTTTTACGAATGGTAAATGAGAGAATTTTACATCATAATTGACGATCTATGGAAAATCAACTAAATTTCGCTTTAGCTATTTTGAATGAAGTCTAAATCTATTTCTAGGGTCGGTTCTCAAGTGAAACATATGTTGAAATCGAGAAGCCAATTTCCCTCTGACGTAGAATTTTGGAAACAAAACGGTCTTTGCCAAATCTTTCTTAAAATCTGCATTTATCTTATCAAAGAAGAAGTACATTCGCAAATATTTTCTAGAGCACAGTACCAAATGATAGCTGAATTCCATGAGAAGAATGTCGGGCGACATTAGAGCTTCAAAGGGCACCTGTTGCGCCTGTGATTCCATGGACAAGAAGCCAGTCCCATGTTGGTTCAGCTGCACGTGAGAGGTGGGTTTGTCCTTAGTGCCGACTTTTCGGATGTCACTGCTCCGTTTGAACTCGAATCCGAAGTCAGACTTCAACCGTTGCATTCAGCTTTTTAAATTGAAACTTTGGTAGCCCAACTTTCTTTTCAACCAGTTAGGGCTCGTGAATAGACTTAATCGATAATAACCATATTGGTGAACAGCAGAAATCATCGACATCAACGTCGACGTGTTACTGATAAGTCACGATATTTTCGGATATCTAAGCTCAATAAATATCAGTCATCTGGGATGAAATCATTAACATCGATCAACGTGTAAGTAATATGATGTGGGGATGAAATCATCGATGCGTAATTGATGAGTAGCGATATTTTCGAATATTTAAGCTTAGCAAATATTAGTTAATTGGGACGAAATCGTCGACATGTAACTGATGAGCGGCGATGTTTTCGGATATTTAAGCTCTTTTAGATAAGTGTTGCTAGATAATAAGAGGCCGTGAAGTTATTTATTTGGTTTAATTGTGTAATCTCCATTTGTAACCGTCGATTATTTAACTCGTGCTATTTGTAAACATCCATCAATCAACAAAAAATCTATCATCTTTCAATTCATGTACCTTTCAACAATTATCTTTTGATTCTTGCACTGTAGTCTTAGTTTCATATATCTTGTCGTCGATTAAATTCCTGGACATATTTTAGTTGTGGTCTTCATATCTTCATCATCAAATAAATTCCAGTATTGTATCTTTATGTCATCGCTCTTTGTCATCGATTAAATTCCGGCAAAGGTTTTTATGTCATCAGGAATCATCATTATCAGTCCCTTATGCTTCATTGATATGACTCATGTCTGGAATCGCCACAAAACCCGTCTCTTCTTAAAAGGTATTTCAGTGACGATCCAATTTCGATGAAACAAACATAATCTAGTCAGGGGTAATGCCTGAAAATTAATAGACTAATTAGAAGAAGGAAAAGCGTTTGGGCATAATTCGCTCGTACCGTTGAACCAAGGAACGCCGATCAATATAATCATATGGTAATCAAAGTACTCTAAAAAAATCAACTCTCGCAAGTCGCAACCGACGACTCATCGGACTCCATACCAAATCTAACCTACATGAGGGCTCTGTTCGTTTCACGAAAAACGAACGATTCAGAAAATCCTTTTCCTACCGCTAACAAAAACGGACAAGCAAGCATCATTTTCGTCGTCCATGAAGATATTGAAATACAAATTGCTGCTGATAACGGAAACATCCTCCGCCGACGAATAATTTCGAACGACTCGAGCGATCATTTTAGTTAAATCAATGTTTTCCAAAACATCCATTTTTCGCGAAACGAAACGGAACTGAAAACTCTACTTCATGGCCAAAAACAAAAGAGAGTCAAAAACCCATCTGTTTTTTTCCCTCGAGAATAAGTAACGGAAGAAAAGAAAGGAAAGAGGAGCAATGTCGCGAGTTAACGTACGCAAGGGAGGCCAAAGAGACGGACAAAATTTCGAGGGAGGGGAGGGGGATGGGACAGTGGCGTGTCGAAGGTTCGTTAGCAGCACAGAAGGGGACGCCAGACTTTCCACATTGTCCCTTCCGTCCCTCCTTTCTTCCCCCTCATTGAATTGCGTCTTTCCAAAGGTGGTGGTGGTGGGGGGTAACGTGGAAGAGAGGGTGGTGTCCCTCTTCGCACGCCTGCCCCCCCAAGCCTTAAAAAAAAACAAATAATTTTTCTCTTTCTCTTCCTTTTTTTGGGGCACACCCAATCGAGGAAAATTAATACTTTAAGGGCCCGTTTGGTAACGTGCCAAATAGTGAAAATTTCTGTTCTTTTGTTCCCAGAAATAGTTTGGGAACAGAAAAGCGTTTGGTAAACTTTTTTGTTTCCGAGCACATTTTTGCAAAAATTTGTGCCCAGAAACAGTTTTGGAAGAGAAACAGTTTTGCTTCTTGTTTCTCGGCACAATTTCGAGAATGAGTTCTTTTTCTTTTTTTTCTTTTCTTCTTTGTGTTGTTCTTCCCTGGGCTGTGGCCCTCGCCGGCGAGGGCGAGGGCTGGACCCTCGCCGCCTGGGTGAGGCGGCTCGCCGTCGATCATGGCGAGGTCGGCCTCGCCGTCGCGACCGAAGGCGAGGTTCAGCCTCGCCTGATCTAGGCGAGGCCGGCGATGAGGTAGGCGGCCAGGGCGGCGATGAGGTAGGCGGCCAGGGCGGCGGCGAGAGCCGCGACGCCTTGGCCTGTGGCCTGTCGTCGGCGCCGGCGATCGGCCATGGCCAAAGAAGGGAAGGGTAGAAAGAAAAAGAAAAGAAAAAAAATATTAAATAATTTAAAATATTATTAATAAAAAGAAATTTTGTGTAGTTACCAAAAGTATTTCTGTTCTTTTCTATCCAGGAATAGAAATTTTGGACAGTTAGCAAACGCCTTTAAATGCTCAGAAATTGTTTCCGGGCACAGAATCAAAAAGAATCATTTCTGAGTAGAAATAGTTTCCGGATACAGAATGATTGTTATGCGCACCCTAAAAGAAAGGGGGGCCAAATAAATATTATAAATAAATGGAAGAGGAAAAAGGAAAAGTGAGGGGGTGGGAGAAGAGAGGGGTCGGTCGGGGCTCCGTTGCCAGCTATGCCAAAAATTTCAACGTGGTCCTCCAACGCCAGGGAGAATCTTGATATTGTTTTATCATCCAATCCAACTGAGATTATAAAACGAATTGGGACTCGGCTAATATCGTGTGTCACGGAGAACGATTGGAGATGATGTCCTCTTGACGCAAACTCCCCCACGCGTCTGTTGCTGGGCGTCGCATTCGGGATCGTCCTCGTCCCGCTCGAGTTCTATCGGGTTCGGTATGAACTGCTCCGAGTCGGGGCTACGTGTAACAGACTGGAAGCCCTGGTTTTTCGCCGACAGGTGTAGACCTTGCTGGGGGATCACTGATTTTATATCGTCACCGATGTTGCGAATGACGTCGTGAACGGTGTTGTCGGCGTTGGTTTCGATCGGTTCGTGAATCCCGCTAGCTATCCTGTGAGTCTCCGTGTGGCCGGGCTTCTGTATCGTGGATTACCTATCGCGCTCTGTACTTAAGAGAGATTGTGAGAATAAGAATTAAATTCGCCTCATTTTGATGACGAGCAATTCAAGGTAGGTTGACACTAACGGAGTTTACGGAGACATAAAAGTAAGACTAGAATGCTTACATATACGACCAATTACATAATACCGGCACATGATGATGAACGAGCCAATCTTACATCCGCCCCACGCGGACTTTGACTTTTTCCTTCTAGTCCGGAACATCCGAAATCTACACTAAATATAAATGTCGACACGTAAAATCGCATACAACATTTCGTAATATTTTTAAATTCGAATAATGTTTTAAATTCATCGATCAACCAGGCTCCGAGAATGATTTTGCTCGCGGGTGTCCTGAAACTATTTCTCAACCAAAGCAACGGGCTAATGTCTACTAAAATATGGCGAGAAACTTTTTTTTACATCTATACCTGTATTATGACGCGAAAATATATAGCAATTCCATTTCATATTTTTTTTATTTCAAATGATTTTAAAAGCGCCAGACATTTTCCACGTGGATAAAAATAAGTAAAACGAGGTCTCGGACACTCGGAGAAATTAAGAGGGCTTGACCAAGTATCATCGTCCCCGCAGCATCTGCCAATTCCCCCAGGTTTTCCTGGGACTCTTTAGGAACAATTAATGCAGAAGCCCTAACTACAGCAACCGACCTCGTGAGTTTTGCATAAACCAGCTCATGATCATAATCAATTATATCACAGACTTCGCATACTAGGAACAACAATTATTATAATTGTAGATTTGGCAAGATATTATGATTTGACCGTCGGTCGGGAAGGTCTGACTAATGTGGCCCCCTTTTTCTTAACGAATAATACCCTATAGAGACAATTATCAGCCATATACTAAATAAAAAAAAATCAGCCGAACGCCAGAAAATAAGGCACGTCAAATGAAGCACGATATTTCGACCGTGTTGAAGAGAATGTATAACGTTCTGTGACAATTTTAACGCTGGAATTTACGAGGGACAAAAAGGAAAGATGCAACGTTTGCCTTGTACAACAAAGAGCCAGAAGGTCCCATCCTTTAACTGGGAGATCTTATTATGGAAAGAAGTATTTTGGAGGTCGTGATTCGTGTGATCCCCCACCTGGTCGAGCCGAGCTCGGGCTCTCGTGATCGGAACCCGCGAGCTCTGTGAGAGAGAAGCCGGGAGGGGAAGGTTGACGGGCGGCGCGGGGCAATCGACGGTGGCGTGGGTGCCGACAAGGGGGTAGAGTGAGAAAGAGAGACATCGTCAACGTAACGTCGGTGAGGAGGCCGACGGAAGAGAAACGTGGAGAGAAAAAGAGGAAAAATGGGAAAGAGGTATACCGGTCTCAAGATGAACGACCCCGTTTAGTTTGGAAAAAGATGTAAATCTAAGGATTTTTAAAAGCGGTAGATAACACGGTGGCTTGCGAAATAGTAATAAGATAAGAAGTGGTTAAATGAATTTCGATACGAGACTTGGCGTTGGGACTGAGATTTATATACAATCTGGATAAAAAAAAAAACACAAAGCCACGGATGATGATGCTGCTGCCAAGGCAAGAAAGACCGACGGGACGAAACAGCAAAATCCCGAAAGCCCGAGGGGCATGGCTGCAAAGCGAGAGCCCCTTTATTTTATATATTCCCTCGGTCATCAACCACCGAGCCAAAAAAGAAAGCGAGCCCCGCCCCCCAGTGCGTTTCTGCAGAAACGAGCCAGCGTATTTAATTTTCACAACCCCCAATCCAACCTCTCTCTCTCTCTTTACTTTCTTCCACTGGTTTGTTTCCTCACTGCAACACTACCCAACCAAAAAAAAAAAAAAAAAAATTTTGCGTTTCACTTCGCTGTAAATGCAGGCGGGATCATCCCCACACCAAACCCTAGACACCCGCTAGCTCTCCCCACCTCCTTCGCTCCCATCTCGTCCATGGCGTCCGCCTCCCACCACCTCAGGACCTTCTCGGCCTTGGCCTTCGTCGTCGTGGTCTCCCTCGGAGCCCTCTCCGCCGACCCGGGCCCCTCCTTTTCCTTCCGCCAGTTCGTCGCCAGAGACGCCTACTTTGAGTCCAACATCGCAATGCACGGCGACGCCGAGGTCGTCGGCGGGGGCCCCTCCCTCCGGCTGACCGGCGACACGGTCAGCCCCGGCGCCGGGTCGGTCGTGTACAGGAGACCCATCAAGGTCGTGCAAGGTAATCCGGAGAAGAACCTGGTCTCCTTCTCGACCCACTTCTCGTTTTCGTTGTCCGGGGGCGGTGGAGGTGGCTTGGCGTTTGCTCTGTCCCCGGGCGGTTCTGGTGCGGATGAGTTTGGGGATCGGGGTAGCCCCTTCGGGCTTCCTCTCGGAAAGAACGGGACTTTGAATAGGACCGTGGCGGTCGAATTCGATTCGGTGAAGAATAGTGTGGCGATTGTTGTGGGCGGCCTCGGGCCTGCTAAGGTGAAGAACGCGTCTTCGCTTGATTTGGTGCTGAATAGTGGGAGCAAGTTCCATTCTTGGATAGATTACGAAGCTGGGTCGAGAAGGTTGGAGGTTCGGGTGAGCAGGTCCTCCGAATCGCGGCCGTCGGATCCGACCCTCGCTCGATTCGTGGATTTGTGGAATATGTGGATGGAGGGCGATGTGTTTCTGGGTCTGAGCTCATCTAATGGGAACTCGAGCCAGGCGTGCTTTATCTACTCTTGGAGCTTCAAGCTCAGGCATGTCCCTCAATGGATGCACTCGGAGCCGTTGGATCCCCAAGCCATAGCTCGCAACACGAAGAATTTGAGAGTCCATGAGAAGAATGATTGCTTCTTGAAAGTGCTCGCGGCGATGATTTTCGGCACGGGGAGTGGCGCCTTGGGGGCGTTCGTAGTCCTGTACTTGTGGACGATATTCGGGAACCGGCGCCCGGTGGCGCCGGAGGAGTTTGTGGTGGAACCTGTGGATTTGAAGAAGTGCAGTAAATTGGAGGTGATTGTAGATAAGGCCGTCAAGGATGTGAATGCGACCAAGTGAAAGCTGACTGGTGTTTAGATAAAGCCCATCAAAGAAGATGGTGGCACGTTAGATGTTTGATGTTGGGGAGATTTTTGCTGTTGGTCTTTTCTGTTGTAAATTGATGTCTTCTTTGGTTCTTTCATTTTCAGCTTCCTCGTGTTGTTGTAATCTGATAATTAACTGTCTAAAATGTAGTTTATTGTCACATATTCTCCAGTTTGAAAGCACTTGGAAAGTTCTTTTCAGTACCTCAGAAGTGCCTCGAATGCGTACATTTCAAAGCGGTCTAGTATATTGATTCAGTGTTTTCACTATGTTAACATCAAGAAGATTGGATTGGAGCACGGCAGGGACCGCCGGCGATGAACCCCCTCGGGGCTCATCATACGAGAGCGTTTGACTGCCCCAGCCGTGGCGGAAAGTGATTTTCTGCTCTGCTGATGTTCATACAGAGACTCGATCTCCTCGAAGAGGTGCTCTTGCGAAACTTAAGGCAGGGCAAGCCATCTGATACTCTTTTGAGATTGGTATCCCGACTCTGTAAGGACTCTTTGATGAGTTACGGTTCCTACTGTAACTTCCAAATAGAATAGGTATGTGTTAGGTTTCCCCTTCCTATCCTTACTATGTCCACGTGGCTTTTGTTTCTTGCAATACTGATTGTAGAGGAGCTTTCCTATTTCTAGACAGTGCCCAACTTTCTTCATGACTTGCTGTCATCTTATGCTAGACTACATCAAGAGAGCATTTGGCTTGAATGTTACTTTCTGTTTCTGCAATTTGGCTGTGTTTTCCCATTGCTTCTCTGGTTCTTATCTTTAGTATCTGTTTTTCTCCCTTCATTTTCTTGTTTGATAAGTCATGCCTTGAGCAACGTTCTGCTACTGCAGAGAATGAATGTGCGACAGAAGGAAAGAACCCAATCATACATTGCCTCCCAAATCAAATATAGTCCCCGCACGTACCAATCTCAAAAGAGACCTGCATTACACTCGATAATCTCATTATCTCACGGCTAACACAAAATGTACAACCTCCCAAATCAATGTTTCTTTTTCTTCGGTGACATGCGATGTCTATTCCATAGTTGCAGAAGAGGAAAAACTCTAATGATTTGGCAACTAAATTTAGATATCAAGATGATTCTTTCAACTGGGTTGACTTGAGGTGGAAGCTGCAACTGCCAATTTTGTTCCTGACTACAGAGCTTAATGGACTCAATCAGTTAACTGGTTGTGATATTTCTTGCTTCACTGATTGGCAGACTCGCACATGCTCACACTTCATCTGCATTACAACAGCAATAAGCAGCAACGCCGTTGTTATTAAAGCGCTTGCGAGTGATACTAATATATGAGATTCAATCCCCCATCTAATCATCATCACACTGCTGAACTTCACCATCTAATTCTAGCTACCCATTGTGCCATATGATGTTCCGACTTATACGAAATGCGACTCGAATGCAAAAGCATGGGAAAACAAAACATTGCAGACTGTTATACTACAGAAAACCTCTGGGGCCATGCTATTGCTTCTCACTGATTCTTTTCAAGAAGATAAAAATGTGCTTTTTGAAAAAAAAAAATTATTTTGGAGTAATGAGACATAAAACTTACATCATTTGGCGTTAGGGATTCTTAAACATACCACCGCCCTAAGTGGCTGCGCTGGCTTCGAGCTCCCCTCCCCCCACGAAGGGTAGGAGTTCGAATCCCAGCGCTGGCGTTAGGGATTCTTAAGCATGACGTCGTGGCCTGATAGCGTCACCCCGGGTTTACCTCCCCGGCTGTCGGCCGTGCGGGGGTTCCCGGGTTACCAAAAAAAAAAAAAACCTTACATCATTTGGCCAATGGAAAGCAAAAGAAAATAGCAGAATCGACCACAAACGATACCAAACCATAGCTGCATCACAAAAAAAAAAAAAAAAAAACAAGTCTCAGATTCAGAGAGTCGATCGAGCAGTCAAAGAGTAAGTAAAAAGATGGGGATCTCAGCATGTATCGCTTGTCATCTTCACCCCCCACGAGGGGAAGCTACAGATAGATAACGCAGTAATTAATGACATCATCGATCCTTCCTGCAAAACGACAGGACAATGAGCAAGAAAACGAGGGTCGCGTGCGTGAGGTCTTTCCATTGATGAGAGACGAAACAGGGGAGAAAGCAGGGGAGGAGCATCTCAGAGAATAAAAACTTCCCCAATTTATTGTCTTCACGGGAAAAATCATAGTGCAAGGATGACATTCCGGATTAACTCATCATCGATGCTCCCCTCACACCCAAAGCAAAAAGAACAACAAACAGAGGAATCAATTCAAAGCGAGCCCGAATCCCATCAAAAGTTTCGAAGCAGCTCTCGGACGCATGCTATCGAGTAGAAAAACCAAAAGGGTTTCGAGTTGCAACGACAAAGATCACAAAGCTGATCGGAAGACGATAGCATCACTCGGCAAGCACGGACTTGTTCGCAAGAATAACGTTCAATTCAAGATAATGCGAGCCACAGAGAGAGATAGAGAGAGATGGTATGGCCATGCCCATCAGCTTATGAAGGGAAGAAAACGAGCCTTAACGAAGGGAGAAACCATTGAAATGGGTGAGATGGGGAATGGCGGTGGGGCGGCGAGGCGAATGCGAAAGCGAAACCCTAGAACTGGTGCCGTCTGGTTCTCTGGTCTCTCTTGTCTTTCACGTTGACGGTGATGGTGATGAAGAAAGCCCATACATCGAAGCCCAATTATAGAAAAGGCCCATTCTAGTTCCTTTGTACATGGGCCCACTTTAATATATATATATATATATATATATTGCTGCTATGTTCACATTTTAGTAATTTTTTTATAGAAATAAAATATAAATATATATGTAGTCGGTCCATTCCGGTTCCCCTTTGAAATCGGGAACCGGACTGCCCAAACACCGATTCCACTTTTAGGAATCGAAAACCGGATTGACACTCCCGAAAACCGAACTCAATCGGCTAGTTCGATTTGGTCCGGACGGTTTCTGGTTCAGACGGTCCATTTTGCATATCTATATATATATTTTTCCTTTTAAATCAACTAGACATAGACATACATTTGGTGTTGGAATCTGACGACATGTAAAATACGTGAAGAACTTAATATAACAAAATTACGAAACATCACAAGAGATGCAAACATCGCTATAGATGAGAATTGTGTATCATAATTTATGCTTATATAACGTATAGTGCGATATCATTTCGTGAATGTTGAGATCAGTAATTTTTATCCAATGTTAAAAATTGAAATTTTGAATAACCCGGTCAACATTTTCGAATGCACTTACGTTAATTACCAATCGCTTAACCGATTGAATTTTATAAGGAAAAAAAAGGTGTGGATCTTGAGGAAAGCAAACTCCTAATTAAGAACATGTACATCACATTGTGTTAGAAAAAAAATTTTACTTTCTAAGAAACATAAATACTCTAAAAAGATTTCGGGAAATCTTGATTAAAAAATATGACGTGCTTCAAATTTAAATTAATAAAAGGCAAAAGCTAAAAGTCATGTACGTCAATTTTATTCATGTTCAACTAAGGGATAATAGCACAAACGTTCCTTGAACTTTAGTCTAGTATGCAATGGCGAACCTGAACTTTTAATTTGCGCATTGCTGTCCTTGATTTATTTAGTGTGATCTCCGAACTATTGATAAGTATTCAATGTAATCCATTGATTATATGAAAATATATAAAAGTTTTTTATTAATATGTATTACTCTAACTCTCAACTCACTCTCAGGCTTTTGCCCTGCCTTTTGTAAGGCTTGAGAGTCGAAATCCACATCTGAAACTACACATTCTCACCTCTAGCCCTCCCTGAGAATGTGAGAAATCGAACTCCTCCGCAAATTCCATTGGTTGAAAATATTTTAAAGTTGAGGCACTATATATTTGTGTTATTTTCCCTTCAACAAACGCACAGACGCAGAAGAAGGAGAAAACGGTTTGATTTGAATTTGGATGCGAGCCCGGGTAAAAGTTTCGGTTCGATCCAAACCGAGACCGTGCACTTTTCCCCGTAGTACCCCCGTCTCGTAGCGGATAATTGCGGAAATGCCCCTCCGCGGATAAACCCCAACGACGAAGAAGAAGAAGAAGAAGAAGAAGAAGAAGAACCCCTTTCTACTGCTAGCTCTCTAATGGCGTCACTCCATCTCCTTCCTCGCTCTCCCCACTTCCACTACCCTCACAGTCCCTCTCTCCTTCACCGACCCAACAAGCCATTCATCCCCAATGCTTCAACCACGCACAAATTCCATCCCTTCTCCGACCTTCCCTTCGCCGGCACTCGCTCGGCTCCCCCTATATCCGCCGCGAGCGGCGGCGACGTCAGCAGCGGCGGCAACGGCGGCGCCGAGTCCCCGAAACCCACCCGACGAGGAAGGAAGAAGAGCGCTTCCGCTTCTTCGTCGTCCGGGAAGAAGACGAAGCGCGCGTCGAAAACCGAGGCCGAGAATGGCGCGGTCGCGGTCGCGGCCGAACCGGCCGAGGCTCGAGCTCCGGAAGAGGAGGACGAAGGCGGCGACGACTGGGACTACGATGATGGAATCGACTCCTACGACGACCCGCCTCTGGTCTGCTGCTTCGGCGCAGCGCAGCGGGAGTTCGTGCCAACGGTGCGGGTCCACCACAACCCGATGCACCCGGACATCTACTCGCAGTGGAAGATGCTGCAGTGGGACCCGCCGGAGTTCGCGCGGGCTCCCGGTGGGCCGCCGTCGAACGTGGCGATCTCGCACGTGCGGCTCGGCGGGCGGGCGGCGTTCATGGGGAAGGTCGGGAGGGATAACTTTGGGGGCGAGCTGGTGTTGGCGATGAACAAGGAGAGGGTCCAGACGAGGGCCGTGAAGTTCGATGGGGATGTGAAGACTGGGCGTACTTATATGAAGGTGAAGTTCGAGGGAGGGAGGATGAGGATGGAGACTGTGAAGGAGTCAGCTGAGGACTCGCTTGCGAGCTCCGAACTGAACCTAGCTGTGCTCAAGGAGGTAAAACTCGTACTCAATTCATTGTTCTTGTGTCGTGTCGTGTTGTCTGTCGAAATTGTGCACCGTGGATTGTCAAGGATTTTATGATCGAGTAGACTGTCGTATAATGGAAGGGTTAACTCAAAATCTTCAGTCCTGCGTACGAAATGCAATTGGGTGCTAAATTTTCTGATCGGTCCAATAAAATCCTGAACTTTTTTTTTTTGTAGAGGTTGCCATATTGTGATGATTGGAAGGACTTGATTGCTTATGGAAAAAGAAAAGAGCTTGATTTCCTCAATGTAAAAGTTAGGTATCGACTGGATCCCACGCATGAGGTTTTAAATGCCGTGCTTGTTCCGTAGTTTAGTAATTTAAATATTGGTTTGCAATTATCTGCCTATGTGCAAATAAGGCATGAATCAATGTAATGGGATGAGGCTGAGGCTGAGGATTATTTTTTAAAATGAAACTCGATTTACTCAGTTGAGAGTAGCATAGAGTCATGCTGGCTTCAGTGGATGCTTCAATTGTGAAATGCTGATGTATTTACTGAATCATTTGGGAGATGGGTATTCATAGATTGATGGATGGGAAATGACAATCTGATTGGAAAGCTGAAACTAGTAGTCTGATGCTCTGTTGATGTCGATGCATGATATATATTATAGCCAGGCATTGAAGCTTATGTTGGCAAATTATTGATTATTGGCTGATTTTGAAACTGTTGTGATAACCGATATGGATGCAGGCTAAAATCTTCCACTTCACTTCTGAAGTTCTGACCTCCCCTTCAATGCATGCCACACTCTTCAGAGCTATCAAATGGTCTAAAAAGTTTGGCAGCCTTATATTTTTCGACTTGAATTTGCCGTTACCTTTGTGGAGATCATGGGATGAGACAAGGGAGTTAATCAAGAGAGCATGGGACGAGGCTGACATTATTGAAGTGTCTAGGCAAGAGTTGGAATTTCTTCTAGATGAAGATCATTATGAGAGGAAAAGAAATTATAGACCTCAATACTATGCTGAAGATTTCGAGCAAACTAAGAACCGGAGAGATTATTATCACTATACCCGGGAGGAAATATCTCCATTGTTGCACGATAAGCTCAAGTTCATATTTGTAACCGATGGAACACTTCGGATCCATTATTACACCCCCGAGTTTGATGGTGTTGTTGTCGGTACAGAAGATGTTCTAATTACACCTTTCACCTGTGATAGGACGGGTTCCGGAGATGCTGTTGTGGCTGGGATTTTGAGAAAGCTGACAACTTGCCCTGAAATGTTTAATAATCAAGACATTTTGGAAAGACAACTTCGATTTGCAGTTGCTGCTGGCATTATATCACAGTGGACGATTGGTGCCGTCAGAGGATTTCCTACTGAAAGTGCGACACAGAATTTGAAAGAACAGGTTTATGTGCCATCAATGTGGTGAATGGACCGTGTCCTATATTATGTGATAGAAGTTTCGATTGCGAAGCCGGACCAATGGAGAAAGTTTCCTCATTGTTTGAAAAAAGTTGTTGAAGATGAAACGGGGGTTTATTGTTTCCTTTGTCAGCTGATGAGCTGCACGGTCGTCTGGTTCCTCATTTATTTGGATCCGACCTTGGGAACGATCAGGACTAAGGAGTTTCATGTGATGTCTATCAAAATTTAATGGTCAAAGATGGTTTTCAGGTCCAAAGCAGCTTATCAAACTCGAACCAATTTGAGCTAGTTCGGTGATGGGACGCCTTCGCGAGATAGTTTTCGTTGATGACCGGCGGACCAATGTACTCTCTTCAGTTGAGACTACAGGGGACAATATAACTTTGTAGCAGTAACTGATCTGACTGATGTGAGCATAGACAGAGATCTGAATCTTTATTATTTTGAGCTGCAACTTCTCTTGTTACGGTATCACTGGCTTACCGGCCTCAGGATGAGGAAAGTTTTTTCCTTTTTTCTTTTCCACATCTCCAAAACCCAATTGAGCAAATTTTTTTTCTAGATTTCTGTGTTTTAACTGAAACGGAGCTGACTTCTTGCCTCCTGCTGAGAGCCTATTTAGATTTCCATGCCTGCCTAATTCAGAACTGATTGAGTTTCTCTTCATCCAGGGTGCTGCAAGTTTGTCTCATAACTTGCTCTACTAGGTCTATTTGTAAGCAACTTTTAGCTTCTTTTGTTTAGCCATAAGCTCCATAGATGTATAATTGTATATGAGTGGCTTAGAGTCCAAACGAGAACAGTTGTGAGATCAACTAAGCTTGAGAAGCTTGGATTTTTGTCTTTGTTTTCTTCACCAGCAGTCTCTCTCTTGTACCAGATAAATAGGGTGTTGATGCATTTGAATGGTCGATGGCCTCCATCCTCAGTCATAGGCCTATTTCAGGGGGAAAAGAACTGAATCCATGGATGATTTCTAGTGTCCTCCTTAGATGGTTGCTTGAACCATCGGACATCTCTGAAGTCTGAACCAGTGTCTTCGATATAGGATAGACGTAAATGTGGAGTTGTTTCTTACATTAGTGTTCTGTTTGATGAATGACCGGTTATGAAAATAAAATACACGTGAAACAAACAGTAAAAATGTAAACTTGTCAGTAAAACAAGAAAGCCTCTCTCATCACAGTTGATGACCACCGCATGGTGGTCCCGGCGGTGGAGATAGCTACCGGCGGACGAGATTCTCGTGTCCATAGGCGAGCTCGCATTGCACGGCGGTCCTCTGTCATGCATCTTAAAGATTGATTGGCCGCAACTGCATTCTCTTCTAGAAATACATATATACCTCCACTCACGTAATAGTGCTGGATCGGGGCTAACGTACGTACAGAGAGGGGGAAGGGGGGATATGGCGGCCACGGTGCAGTGGTTGTTACTTGAGGCGATCACCAAATGGTGGCGCCACTCTCTTCCTCATCGTCTACACAGTCGAGAGCAACGCCGCCTACCTCATCTCCTCCTTTGTCCCTCTTACGTAGTTCTCTGTGGTCCACACCGATACTTTTACGTCTTATGGAAGTCGCCAGGAAATTTCTTTGTCTTTTACATCTTATCAGGATAAAATAGGAGTCATATCAGTTTGAGATTTTTTTATAAGATAAATAATAAATATACATCTTTTGGAATTTTATACTTTTCCGTTGATTAAGAAAATATTTTCCATTGACCTATTTTTCTCCAAAGAAAATAAAAAATATTTTCTTGAATCACGTACTTTTCAATAAAATATAAAAGAAGAAAGAGAAATCTGCAGAAATTCAACGGGGAACTTCGATTACGAACGAACCAATGAAGCTTCTTTGGAGGGAGGCAGATGGGTTCAAATGACTTTGTACTTCTACTTCACTGGCCTCGAGGTAAATTCCTTTTTGTCTCCGTCCGATGATGTCTTGGAGCCGAGGTTGGCGTCGTTACCTGTCCTTGCTAGAGACTTGAACCTCGCGCACGCCTTCCTTCCCCAGCGTGTGCGACCGCGACCGAATGGACAGACGAAGCTTCTCGCTTTTGCGCTTTCATGGCGCTTCACGCCTCTCGCCTCCCTCCAGCATCGCGTCGTTTCGCTCAGAAAGGTCGACAACGCTTTCCCGCGACCAGGTGATCCTGTCGCGATAAAGCGCAGAGAGAGAGAGAGAGAGAGAGAGCAGAGCTGAGTCTTCTCGACTCAACTACCACTCTAATGGCGGGGGACCCAGCTGCCTGCAAGAGAGAGGCAATCACTACGACATTCCAAAAGGACAATTTGTCGCTGCGTCGCCCTTATAAATGGGTACGCGTTTGGGTTGTACGTTGTGAAGAAATCGGATGCTCGATTCTTTGCTCGGTTCGCGCTCCTTTGAGTTCACCACCCAATCGAGCTGCTCTTACCGGTACGTTTCGCTGAATCGCTTTAATCTCTTTGCATTTCAAGCTTGCACATCGTCCCAATCATTTCTATTTTCCTCGAACATAATGCTGTGTCTCCTCATGTTGTTCCGCTGATTTTAATGTTCTGGTCTTTGTCATGTGTTCTTCTGATATTGTAGATAGAGAAAAGCCTCCACGCAAAACGAGCTTTCTGTGACACTGGAACTTGAAATACTGCTGTCAGTACTTTTTTTCTTGTTGGTAATTGGAATTTCAACATTGTAAGATGGAAGTTGAAGGTTGCTGGGTCTGTTTTCCAGCTGACTTAGCGGACTCGTCTTGCGGCAAAAAGATTTGATTATGATACGAAGTCTGCAGCTTGTTCGAGGATGTGTCCTGTTAGTTCCAATGGGGTCACCCTCACTCGTGTCAACTTATAATAGAACGAGCTGCGGAAGTCTGTTAAATCTTTTCCATAGTTTAAGGGTACAGCATAATCGAAGGAGCATGCTCTGCCTAGAACTAGATTTGGTGGAACTTAATTGCCAAGAGATTAGATTAGAGCAAAGAATGGAGCCGTATTGACAAACACATATCACACCTGGGAGGCTGAGAATACGGACTTTTGAGCTTTCCCCATGTAGAGTAGGGCCATGTTATTACAAGAAAACCTTTCTCATTTCAGGTGATTTCTTCAGAGGTTGTAATCGCAGTTATAATTGACCTTTTAGCTAGCGACTAAGGAGTGTAACTTTATGGTCCCGGGCTAGTTTTGTATTTCATGAACCTAGAGTACCAATCCAGCCTTCTCTGACAATTGGTGTGAATACGTGCACTGGCTTAACTATATAGTCTTACTTGGATTGGCTTTCTCATATGTTCTACTACAAATTCTGCTCACTTGATGATTCACACGTTGGCATTTCTTTTGTCATAGATGAAATGAACTGAGCGAGGCAATTTCAAGTCGTGGAAAGAGGATATGGCAACGTCTTTCCTTGTTCATGCTTCTATCAAGAGGTTTTCTATAACTGGATGGTTCTTGTTCCTTGTGGCCTTGTTCCAGAACATCAAAGGAAACTTGTCAGCTTCCAATTATTTGATTGGCCTTGGGAGCTATGATATAACAGGGCCTGCTGCAGATGTAAATATGATGGGATATGCAAACATGGAGCAAATTGCATCTGGAGTCCACTTTAGATTGCGGGCTCGGACTTTTATTGTTGCGGAACCTCAAGGGAATCGTGTAGCATTTGTAAATCTTGATGCATGCATGGCTTCACAAATTGTGACTAATAAAGTACTTGAGAGATTAAAAGCAGGGTAATCTCTCCCACATTGAGTTAAATCTAACTGTAGACACTGCCATTCTAAGTCCAACTTTTAGGCCAGAATGTACTTTTGGACCTTCATGCATGAGTAGATACGATTCTCTACCCTCATATCATCAATTCTAGAATTATACTTTTCTTGAGTAGATGGAATTCTGCTTGTATGAGCATGAATTACATTTTTTTTTTTGAAATTAAGCATGTAAAGTGCACTCTTCTAACATCTTCCTTCTTTCTTTGGAGAAATTGTTGCTGTAGTTTGTATGAATTTCAACTATACCACTCACATGTGGATGAAGTACGTATTTTGTTCATCTTTTTCAATAAGTATATGTATAAACTGCACTCTTACATCTTCCTTCTTTCACCAGAGAATTGTTTTGCTTGACATTAATTTGGATGGTTTTTCAGCTTATAAAAGCATGAAGTACATATTTCTTTTATCTCATTTGATGAGTGTTTAAACTACACTCTTCTTAGGCTGTGTTCGTTTCCGGAAAAATATTTTTCCGGAAAACATTTTCCGCATTTTCCGGTGTTCAGGGGCGGAAAATGTTTTCCGTGGGAAAACATTTTCCTTCCCCACCCCCAAATTCTTCATTGTTTTGAGGAAAATGATTTCCTCTTTTCACAAAGAGGAAATCATTTTCCCCCAAAGTGAAGGCAAAATTGTCCATGAGAGGGAAAATGTTTTCCGTGGGAGAGGAAGTGGATCGCTGGTCACCGCCGCCGCCGGTCGCCCGCCGCCGCCGCCGCCGCCGGCCGCCGCGCGCCGGCCGCCCCGCCCGCCGCCGACCGCCGCCGCCGCCGCCTCCGCCGCCGCCGCCCGGTTGCGTCGCCGCCGCGGTCGCCGGACGCCGCCGGATCGGCGGTCGCCGAACACCAAAAAATATTTTCCGAAACTTTTTCAAATTTTAGCCGAACACCAGAAAATTGTGTTCCAGGAAAATATTTTTCAGGAAAATGACTTCCGAAAAAATATTTTCCAAAAGGAGAATATTTTCCGGCAAACGAATGGAGCCTTAAACCCTGATTCTTTCATTGGAATATTGTTTCTCCTGACATTAGTTTGGATGAAATTCAACTCTGCTTACATGAGCCTGACATACATAGTTTCTATCATCTTCTCTAAGAAGTGTGTGAACTGCAATCTTCTTCTAACATCTTCATTCTTTCACTGGATAAAATAGAAAGGTGCAGCTGTTTTGAGTGGACTAACTGTCAAGATTATAAATAATGCAGTTGAAGAATTTATTGCATCTTATGAAAAAATTTACAGTATAACCTTTGAACAACGAGCCTTCTAGTATTATATATCCAAGTTTGTTACTTTTCAGATATGGGAATCTTTATACGGAAGAGAATGTCGCAATTAGTGGAATTCACACTCATGCTGGACCAGGAGGCTATCTCCAATATGTTGTATATATAGTGACATCACTTGGATTTGTAAGGCAGTCATTTGATGCTCTTGTTGACGGGATCGAGAAAAGCATTATACAAGCTCATGAAAATCTTCGGCCAGGAAGTATTTTTGTCAATAGAGGTGATAAAAATGCTTCATATTTTTTCTACTCTTCTTTATCCCATCTTTCACTGCTTGCTACAGCCATCAATCTATGTTTTGATTTCTTGTTAAGATGGAGATAGACAGAATCAATTTAGTGAACTTCTTCATTCACCTCTTTGCCCTATATCTAATTGGACATATTTGTGTCTTTGGACATGTTTTTAAATTGCAATGATGTACTCCGTGATGATAGTTTGATGGTTCATGAGTGAATAGCTGATGGCTGGTGGTATCTCTTATTTGAGTTTGCTACTATTCTCACTCAAGCAATTGTTGCTGGAACTGTGCAAATATTTTGCTTAGCTTCAAGAATGATTATGCAT